AATACCAGTAATTCTTTAAAAAACCATTTAAGTGGGTAACTTGAAGTGAATGCCATAATTTTCACTGACTGAGCCCTTTGAAATTTCCATGCCCTTTTGGAGAGTGGAATGGTTTCACTACACTCTCTCAACATCCTTCATATGGCAGTCCTCTGACTAAAGAGCCTGAATCCCCTTCGCGTGAGGCTCAGGTGGTCTGGAGGGCCTTCCATCAGCTTTGGTTAGAGGCCCACCTGCACCCCTATCTTGGACAAGGATAGCCTAGCGTCTGTTGTCTATGCTCTGGTAACCGCTAGGTTAGATGCTGCAACACATTATACCTGGGGCTGCCTCTGAAGATGGTCAGAAACTTCACTGGTGCAGAAATTCAGTGTCCAGGTTGCTGCACTGGGGCAGAGATGGGTTTTCAGCACAATAAAGTCAATCTGGCCTAAACTCCCCCGGTGGCCAATTAGTTTCCAGGCCCAAACCCAAAGTGCCTGATGTTGACCTATAAACAGCTCGGACTGCAGATACCAAGGACCACTGTCTCTTCATATGAATAAACCAGGCCCTGTGATCATCATCTGAGGCTCTTCTTGTGTGCCTCCTCTGTGCAAGGTCTAGAGGGTGGCAACATGAGACGGGCTTTTCTGCGGTGGCTCCCCATTTGTGGAATGCTTCTCCCCAGGAAGGCTCATCTGGTGCCTTCATTACAAATCTGCAGGCACTAGGCAAAACATTCTCTTCTCCCAGGTCTTTCGCTAATTTATGGTCTTTTAAACAGCTACTTGAAGATGCTGGGAGTGGTCCATGAGGAGATTTGGGGCAAGGTGCCATCAACATGCCAATGAAATTTAGCTCTTTTTCTCCATGAGACCTGATCAGGAGAGGCCCCATGGGCCCTGAACCACTTCCTGGCTTGCAGTGATGGGGATAGATGATGAGAAACTAAACTGAGCTTGAAACCCCAGCAAGCCGGGACGCTGTGGGGTGATTGTCTCCATTGAGAACTCAGCACAGTAGCACGTGACTGGGTGGGGTTTGCACTTGCCCTAAATAGAAGCAGGTATGTGGTCTGGGGGGGATTGCTTCTGGGTCCAGCTTTTGAGTCGGCTGAGGAAAGGCAAAGGTAGCATCATTGCTTTGAAGTCCCCTTTTACTAGCTCACTCGCATGAGAAGCTGCAGCAATCCCTGGACCTGGTTAGCTGAATCAGCAACAGCTTGCAGACGTTGGTGACCTGGAAGGTTGGATTAACTGCAATGCGCTCTGTATGGGTTTCTATCCTATAGCATTTGGTCGCAGAAACTGGAAGTTAGGCAACCACGCTGCGGCAAATTTAACGCTTACAGGAGTGGGATTCTCTCAGCATCTTACACCTGGTGCCTCAGAGTTCTAAACCACTGGCTGCCATTAGTTACTAGCGCAAGTTTCAAGATGTTACCATTAGAAATATAAAGCCATTATCATTATTGGCCCGTTTTATCTTGATAGGATCAACTTTGCCACATATGTATCAGCACTCACTTTTACAAGGTGCCACATAAATGTTTTGCCTCATACCTTTTAGTGCACAGTTTCCTACAGTCTGGAACTTCCTTTTTATTCTTGCCTGTTTAATGCAAGTCTACTGACAGCCTGCCAACCCTAGCAGTTAGCCGAGTTAAGCACCCCCTCCCCTCCGGTGCAAGTAGATAAAATAGGGACCGCTTACTGGCGGGAAGGTAAAAGGCGTTCCGTGTGCCTTGGCTGGCTTCGCCAGAAATGCAGCTTTGGTTCACGCTGGCCACGTGACCAGCCGGAAGTGTCTCCCGGACAGCGCTGGCCCCCGCCATCTTGATGAGATGGGTCGAAATAACCCTAGAGTCGTCAAGACTGGCCGTACGGGCAGGGGTCTTTACTTACTTTTACTGAGACATATAAAGCTGGTGTGTACTTTAAACTGTAAATTTAAAGTTTTAAATGAATATTTTTTATTCTGTTGGTTTTTCTTCTTTTGCTTTTTTTTAAACAACTAGATTTTAAACTGCTGACTTTTATTCACAATTTTAAATGCAAACTTTATTCTTTGTAACTGCTTGGAGAATTTTAAATGCACATAGTTTAAAGGGGTATACAAATTTTGTAAATAAATAAAATTGCACTAAAAATAACACCAGCAGACAGACAATAAAACACAGTGAACTGAAGAGAGGAAATTACAGGAAACATCTTTAAAGTGTAACCGGTATGGCAGTTCCATCCCTTTTTTTGATTTATAAGAGAGTGGGTAATGGTAACTTGACAATTTCGGGGGCATACTGAGACAAACAATAGCAACTAGGAAAATAGTCCTGAGAAGGGAGAGGAAGGATCTAGTGGTTCTTCGACTGCTCCTAATTGGAAATGTGGTAGTTCTATCGAGAAAGAGCTCTCTGTCTCTGGGCTCTAGCATCAACTACATCTTATTAAACAAGCATTTGGAGTGAGCTGGCCATCTGTTCATCTTAATGTTGGTTCTTCTGTCTCAGAAGAATGACCACGATAGTCCAGTTGCAAAGTTGCATCTAGGTCAACTTTTATTTATACTGAACAGCTTTTAAAAATACAGAATAAAATAGCATTTATCTACTATTATTCACAACATCTGGTCCAAATATTACATATTTCTTAAATATTTCAACGTTTAATAAAGCAATGTTAGAAAAAAATATCCCAACAAAACACAACAAAATTCATAAAAATCTCAATAAAAGAATTACACATCTCAGAGGAAAAACCCAACTTGGTTTGTAACATGAGATTGTGCGGTCAAAAGTCATTCACAAAAAAAAAAAAAAACTCATGGGAAAAAGAATATTATTATTTATCCCCACTGTCTAAAAAACAGTCAAAAGAGTTTGTTACATCAAAAGTTGTTATTATGAACAGACCAAAGAGGAGGAAAAGAAGATGCACTAGAGTTTGGATTGACAGCAAGATGGTTCACTTGGAAAGATGTCAGGCAATACACAAGGGAATTCTCTGCTATCAAATATTGTACTGATGACTAATCACAGCCACAAGCAAATTATAACCAGACAGGAATGTTTTTGATGCCACTCAAGGTGAATTCTCAATACTTAAAGCAGCCCAGCACTATAACGGTTATAGAGACTAATGGGCAGAGCTAAATACTGGTGAGCAGGTGGCCGCCTCACCAGCACAGATGGGAAAGGATCTACCACTACAAAATGGGAAGCCCCAGCAGTCTGCTCTTCTCCGTCCAGGCAGGTTAAGAAACTGTTTGAGTGAGAAACTCTAGATATGCACCATGCACCATGCAAAAGAAAACAATACAAAATACAAATGGTGAGTGTATCTTGCTCCCAACGCCGCCTTCTTCTGGTGGTGAAAGGTTGGTTATTTTTTGGTTCAAGAAGGCCACTGGAGAAGAAAAGGGGGGGAAAGGCCATTTTGTGCTGGTCTGTCATGCATATTGAGATATGAGTTGCGTCGTCACTTTGGAATGCAGGCACACGTCCGATGGCACAGGGCTGCTTCTCCACTTTATGGTGTAAAGAGAAAGGAGGCTGCTTCTGGGCACTGAGCAAAGGGGAAAGTGGGATGGGAGTCACTTCTGAGGCTCTGCCCCTTGCATCTAACAAAAGGGAAGGGAACAGGATTCGAGAACCAGATGGCCCGTTTTGAATCTGGGCCTATCGAAACCCCAAGAGTGTACAAGCAGCCTTATCATATGCCTTCCCACAAACACCTTCACTAGGCTGGGTTATTCTTCTTTCTGGGAGGCAAAAGCAGTCAAATAGAGAGGAAGGGCCTTCAGCAGCTGCATCCTTGGAGCACCTTGATATATGTGGAAAAACATACTTCAGCCAGTGAAGTAGGCTCAGGCTAGCTAGCCATTGGCTTTAAACCATCAGCTCCTGAACCATTAGGCTCTCCCCAGTTCCTCCATCGACTCCTACAGGAATCATTTTAGGAACCCTACCTGCAGAGTTCATGGCTGGGATTGGGCTGAAAGCAAGGAGGCACCAAGGTGAAAAACAGAGAGCGTAAGTGTCTCTAAGGATGGTCCTTGTCCTTAACCATAACATGGGAAGAAGCCTGAAGTTATGCATGCCATCAGAATTTGGCACTTCATAGATGATAGAAGGCTAGAGCCTAACTGTGCCATCAAGTGAGAGGTTGACATGTTTTGGTCTGATTGCTTAATCTTTGCATCTGATTAGCATCTCTTTCCAATTCTCAACCAGAGACATTTTGGTGTTTGAGGCAGAAAATCCAAAAGGCGTTCTCACCTCCTGACTCCAAACATACACAAAATAATTAACGCAGCAAGCCTCATGGAAATGAACAGCAGCCGTGCAAGAGCACAGTTAACCCCTGTTCGCTTCAAGGAAGTAGGAGAACGTCCCGGTGGATTGTTCCCCCGGGGGCCAGGGTGTGGATGCCTCCCACGGTGTCACCCCCTGAACAGGAGTCAGAATCAAAAGCTACTCTGTCAGGTGGCCATGCATCTAGTCTCATGGTTGGACCTGCTCTGGGCTCAACATGTTCCATTGCTAGTACACAAGCAATGCTGTTACCGGTACCAATGTTTTCAAGAGAGAGGTGATCAATAACTTCTCTCTGTTTTTACTTAAAAGACATAAGCATGGGTAAATAAGTATAAACAATCGCTAGCAATTCGTCAATGAAGAAATTCTATCACATGACATTGTCATGACAATCATATCACTCCCGCCCAGGAAACCTGTGACAATTATTATCCTGGGTGGAAATGTTACTCGTTGGGTGTGTGTTTTTTTTAAGTCTATGGAAATAGAATACTGCAATATTCATGTACAAAGTTGCCATATTGAAAGTTAGTATTAAAGGATGTTAAGACAAATCGACTGTGTAAATTTAAAAACTCCTTCCCTGATGCATCTTATTCTGATTAATACTTTTTTTTTTCAATCACAGATAAAATTAACCATTAAATATAAATTCAAGAGGCATAATTTTATAAGACACATTCATAAATCTTAGCCAGAGTACTTAATTTAAAAAAATTAACATAGGTTTTTATTTTAAATACAAAAGCTCAGAAATTGTTTTGCTTTCAATATACGTTTCTAGATCTTTGACATGACAGTGATGGTTTAGTCATGAATATTTATTTCTTTTAACTGAAATTTGTCAGTGATTTCCCCCAACCTCTCTCGTAAGGTGATCTGTCTGGGCAGAATTGTTTAATAGCAGAAAGACAGGAGGCTACAATAAACACACAATTCAAAGCATCACAACCTTGTTCTGACTTCCTTCCAGCTAGGATACATGTAAGGAGCTAACCGTTCTTTGCTCTCACACAATACTGGGATCTACTCCAAACGCAGCATATATACGGTTGGAGCCCAATGTCTGGTAGCTGAAGTTCATACACCACTTTGAAAAGTTAAGAAGAGGTACATCAGATACCTTCCCTTAATTGAAATTCACAGGCCTTGGAGGTTATCCAGAAAAATGAGTTTTCTGAATTCTCTCTTAGGAATACAGCCCTAAGCCATTTTGATCCCCGAGTTGGACAAGGCACAGATTATGGTTCTTCCCACTAATTAACACAAGGTGCCATCTGCCATTCATGTGTCCAACATCACTGAAATTAATGGGAGCTGTGAAAGAACACTGCTGGGCTCTTTTGCTTTAAGGGTGCTTGACTCCCATCTCCTGCTCTTAATGATACCCAAGACCTGCTATCTCACTACACTTTCCTATCTTGGACTCTCTCTCCAAAGTTAAAAGCATGCTTTCTTCTCAGGACAACAAAGTATTCTTGCCACAACTGCAAAAGCACCTGACCTTCTGGATGCTCTGCATCCAGGCTGTCAAAAATCTTTTCTAAAAGCAGCAGCAATTGCAATGCCCTCTTGTGGTTGCTTCTGCAAGAGAAACCCGCCACGGCCTTCGCTTTAACCACTTTGCCTTTCAAAGTGAACCTGCCTCGTCTCTCTCAGAATATATATATATATATATATATATATGGGGGAGCAGAGTAAAGCGGACTGCACTTGTAAACACTGCAAGACTCTGGAAACATTTCAGTCCATAGCTCTATATCCCAGGAGGGCTGTAGAACTCCATTTTAAAAACTCACGTCATTTGCACCTCAGAAGTGAGACAAGAAGGATGGATCACTTTAACACCTCTTTTCCTTCTGTGTGATATATGGACTAGCTCTTAGCTGCATGTGTCAAGCGGCTACTGAAGAAGTTGGGTGCTTACCTTGCCGCAGTTGTTAGCAGAATATGAAAGCTACTCAAGATAGCTGTAGCCACACAGCTGGTAGCAGGGCACATGTAACAGCCCATCTTTCTTATTTATTGCGCTGGGCCCAATCTATTGGAGATCTACTCTTTTACTGAAGCAAAAGGGGAAGCTGTGGAAGAGTGTTATTACAGTAGTGCATCACGTTCAGTGACATGTTCAGTTCTGCTATAAACAAACAACTGGCACCTTAGAAAACAAAAATTACCAAAACAAGGATATACTAAATTCTGACAATGTTATGAATACACAACATTTGCCTCTCTAATGCAGCCTTCAACAACCTGGTGTCCTCTAGACTTTGGACTACAATTCCCATATGGCCAGGCTGGCTGGGGCGGAAGGGGATTGTAGCACAAAATATCTGGAGGGCGCCAAGTTGGCGAAGGCTGCTCTAATGTGTGCGGAAAATCTTGGCTTTGGCATTTTGCATTATTATAAGCCACCTATAGGGGGCGGTTCCTTTCCACCCACCTTTTCTTTGGTTGCTCATAAAATAAAGGTGGAAAGCAAACATGCTGCCCCTGTGCTTTTACTCAGAAGTAAGTCCCACTGCGCCCAATGGAGCTTAATCCTAGGTGAGTATGCACAGGATTGTGGCCTTAGTTTCTGAAGCAGCTACTTTGGGGGGCTGGTTTTCATGATACCTGGTTTGAATCCAAGACAGCAAACTGCTGCAAGGTCTCTGAGGAAAGATCAGAGAGGGGAAATAACCCTGATGTGAAAAGCTATACAATGAAAATGTCACTGAAATGGTGGGAAACACCCACAATCTGCTGACTGCCTTCCCTTCCCCACCATTCAATACTGATACATCAACGCTCCTTACACCTTTCCCAAACCCTAATAGCCTCAGTAATCAACAAGAGTGGCTTTACGCCTCTCATGCTTGAGAAACTGACAACAAATGTACAGTACCTGCTTTGGGAACTGAAAAAAGAAAAGAGAGATACAAAACAGGAGCACCTTAGATCACACCGACTTTGAGAGTACAGGCTTTGAGAGAAGACTTACCCTAATGCCTCTCTAACAAATCTTTCCACAGCTTCAAAAATGCCTTTTGGGCCACATCGGGGGGGGGGGTAGGGGGACGACAATAAGAAAGGAACAAAATGCTGATGTCTAAAAACTAATCTGCAACAGTAAGAACATTACACAGGAATAATTCTTTTACAATTATAAATGCATGATGAGCATTAACAGCTATGTAATGTCAGAGCCAAGACTAGTAGAAGAAAAAAAATCAAGAGTCTGAATGGCACCCACAGTGGGCCCCCGATACCCGTTAAACCACCCAGTGGACAGTGATGCACACATGGTCTCTCTTCTTTTAAAAGCAGGTCCCATGTTAAGCTCGGAAAGGGAGGAAAACACAAAGGCAACATTAACTGAAGGATGTTTCTGGGACAGGCAGAACTGCATGAAGCAGGTCAGTACGAATCCAGAGACAACCAGATAGTTCCCTTCTCCATTGAGAAGTAGTCAATTTGGCTGCTTAATAAATATCACTTTTAAAAGACTGGCCTGAAGGGATGCAAGACAGTGAGCTGCTTAGGCAATCTGTCAGGTTCAGGGATGTGCAATTTGACGACAGCCAGAGGCAAAGCCCCAGTCAACCCTGTCCACAAAAGGTGCTCAGCTAGGACTCGTTAAGCACCCCAGAGCCATGTCACTTTCTTAGGAACAGAAGCTTGTGCAAAGGCACCGCTTGTCGGCACATCCAATACACAATGCTGGGGAGCTTTGAAAGCACTGTCTAGTACGGAACACTTTGGTATAATTTGCCAGAATAATGCCAACAAATGACTGGGGGCTTATGAGAGTTAAATAAAAAAATGGAATGTATCAGCTATAAAATGGGAAAGACACAGCCTGCTTAAGCGCTGTGTTTACAATATTTACCAATTTTGGATCTGGATTAAACGTTGAACAGTAGTTGCCCCGCCAAAATCAGCAAAAGCAAGTCTAACAGTACTTCTTAAAAACAAAACAAAAAGCACAATGTAATTATAGAGAGACGTTATAGATAGCTATCACTGTCCACAATAGGAAAGCTATATTTTATAATCTGTTTCGGCTCTGGTTCCAGAATTCAAAATGCAGAAATACAAAAAACGTAAAACAAAACAAGGTCAGCAAAGAACTGCAGAGGTGTCTGTCACTGCAGCTGGTCGACAGGGGCTGCAGCAGCAGGGGCTATACAGTGGCCTCCGAGTCCTCCTCCTCTGTGCTCTGGCAGCCACTGTTTTGCCTGAAGCCTTTCCATGTGTAGCCCATGAAGGTGGGGCTGATGGGTAAAAAGCGGAAGCATTTGTACTTCCTCACAAACTCCATGCCAAAAGGCAAGTCATAAGTTTCCATGCCATCAATGGATTTGCTGCCTTTGCACACTCCTTTCTTCCATTTCTGGATTCCTCTTTCTTCGGGGCTTCCTGGGTATCAAAAGGATAGGGAGAGAGCTGCATCAAGAGCTGAACATTAGAGACATAAGCCCCTCTCTCATAACACTAGGATTCGTGGACACCCAATGAAGCTGAATGCTGCAAGATTCAGGACAGAGCAAAGAAAGTCCTCCTTCATGCAACACAGAGTTAAACTATGGAACTTGTTCCCGCAGGTAAAGGTAAAGGACGCCTGGACAGTTAAGTCCAGTCAAAGGCGACTATGGGGTTGCGGCGCTCATCTTGCTTTCAGGCCGAGGGAGCCGGCGTTTGTCCGCAGACAGCTTTCCGGGTCGTGACTAAACTGCTTCTGGCACAATGGGACACCATGTTGAAAGCCAGAGCGCATGGAAACGCCGTTTACCTTCCCATCGCAGTGGTAACTATTTACAGTGGTGCCCCGCAAGACGAACGCCTCGCAAGACAGAAAACCCGCTAGACGAAAGGGTTTTCCGTTTTGGAGGCGCTTCGCAAAACGAATTTCCCTATGGGGTTGCTTCGCAAGACGAAAAAATCTTGCGCGTCCTCGCGGGGTTTTTTCGCTCCCCCCCCTTTTCCTAAGCCGCTAAGCCGCCTATCAGCTGTTCTGCTGATAACCCGCTTAACAGCTGATCGCGAAAAGCCGCTAGACCACTGTAGCGCTAATCCGCTAAGCTGTCAATGGGCTTGCTTCGCAAGATGAAAAAACCGCTAGACGAGGAGAATCGCGGAACGGATTCTTTTCATCTTGCGAGGCACCACTGTATCTACTTGCACTGGTGTGCTTTCGAACTGCTAGGTTAGCAGAAGCTGGGACAGAGCAAGAGGAACTCACTACCGTCATGTGGATTCGAACCACCGACCTTCCGATCGGCAAGCCCAAGAGGCTCAGTGGTTTAGACCATAGAGCTGCCTGCGTCTCTCCTGCAGGAGACAGAGATGGCCACCAACCTAGATGGCTTTAAAAGATTAGACAAATTGATGGAGGAGAGGGTTATCGGTGACTGCTAGCCATGATGGCTGTGCTCTGCCTCTCCAGTTGAAGGCACCAGTGCTTCCCTGTTGCTGGAAACCAAGGGAGAGAAGGGTGCTTCTGTGCTCAAATCCTGCTTGTGGGCTCTCTATGCAGTGGTGTCCAAACTTTTTTCAAAGAGGGCCAGATTTGATGAAGTGAAGGACTGTGAGGGGCGACCTAAGGGCCAACCCAAGTTGTTGAACTTTTCTTAGGATTGAAGTTGTTGAGGTTTTTTTTAGGATTTTATGCCAGGAGATAAACTGCCACAGGGGCCGGATTAAACCAATTAGGCCCCCAAAATGGACTTTGGACATGCCTGCATTAGGGCATCTGGTTGGCCACTGTGGGAACAGGGTGCTGGCCTAGAGGGGCCATTGGCCAGTTCCAGCAGGCTCTTATGATGTGCTTCTAAGCCCCTTTGACAGGAAAGCTAGCCCCACTCCCTCAGCCTGAGCACTGAGTGGGATACCTGGAAAGTGATACTTGTGCAATTGTGCACAGGGGCTCCAGCTGCCTCAGGGCAGTAGAAGGGGACCTACAAACCCATGAGCCACACAGAAATGAATGAGGATTCCCCAAGAGCACACAATTTGCACTGTTGGATTGTGCTCTGTGTCAACCTGTAGCTGTGCTGCGTATTTTCAGCCTCCAGTGTCACAGTGTCTTTAACAGGAAGGCAGGGGAGGGAAACAGTGGGGAAAGGCAGCCTGTTGCGCTACTCACCTGGAATAGTGTTGTCTAAAATAAATGCTACACAACCCCCAACGAACATGGCTGTAGTGAGAAGAACATTTAACACTTGATCAATGCTGGCTATTCCTACAAGAATAAAAGGGGAGGGAGAGACTTAGAGCAAAATCTGAAGAGCCGCCATATTCATACGCACATTTTCAGGAGCCAAAGTCACACTGTCCACACAGCACAAACACCTGGTGATGTGGATTGCTTAGCAATGCTCATATATTTATCACCATCATCATCATCATACCGGGGAGTCAAGGAAACTTGCACAAATTAAAATGACTCAGATAAAATACAAAAAGCTAAAAACATATAAAAGACAATCGTTTAAAAGTAATAAAGCAATAATAGAACTAAAACATTATATATTGCTATTCCATCCACCCCATCCCTCACATGGACACAATGGACAGCACTACTCAAAAGTCAGTTGGGAGGCCAGGGTAGGGGGGCAGCCCTTAGGCAATTTCCCCTACTACTAGGAAAGGGCTATAGTTCACTGGTAGAGCACAGGCCTTGGATGCAGACAGTTCTAGGTCCAGAATCAGGTAGCAAGTAGCAGTAGGGTCTCTGCCTGACATCTTGGGAAACTGCTGCCAGTTTAGAGTAGGCAGTACTGGGCTGGATGGACCAATGGCCTGACTCAGTGTAAGTTGGGTTCATGGAACCATGGAACTGCAAGGGACCTCAAAAAGAAATTTAGTCCCACCTAAGGTAAAGGGACCCCTGACCGTTAGGTCCAGTCGTGGCCGACTCTGGGGTTGCGGTGCTCATCTCGCTTTATTGGCCGAGGGAGCTGGCGTACAGCTTCCGGGTCATGTGGCCAGCATGACAAAGCCACTTCTGGCGAACCAGAGCAGTGCGCAGAAACGCCACTTACCTTCCAGCTGGAGGGGTACCTATTTATCTACTTGCACTATGACGTGCTTTTCGAACTGCTAGGTTGGCAGGAGCAGGGACCGAGCAACGGGAGCTCACCCCGTCGCGGGGATTCGAACCGCCGACCTTCTGATCGGCAAGCCCTAGGCTCAGTGGTTTAGACCACAGCGCCACCTGCGTCCCTAGTCCCACCTACTGCAGTAAATTTACTACTACAGCCTCTGCTTGAAAACCTCTAATGGAGGGATCACCACCTCTTACACTGTCAAAGAAGCATTTATCATCAGAAGTTCTTCCAAGTCTAAATCATCTTTGATTTGAACCTGTTGTTTCAATCCTTTGGAACAAGAGAAAAAGAATTTGCTCCTTTTCCTATATGATAGTCTCTTCTCCAGGCTAAACATACCTAACAGACTCCCAGCTCTTAACTTGTTCTTCAACTATTTAGCCCTTGCCATCAGTGGTGGTCCCCAGTTTATGGAACACCCTACCTAGTGAGGTGCTTCTGCTTCCACTATTAACTTTCAAGCAGAATTTGAAAACATTCCTGTTTACCCAGGCATTTCGTGGCTGAGGGATACTGTTCCTGGCATCCCTTACATCACTGGATGGAATAATGTTTAACTGTAACCGCTTTCAGGTGTTATTAACTGTCATTGTTTTTATAATGTTTAAACTGCTCTAGAATGCCCCCCGCCCCCCCGTTGTGGATCTGGGCTCCTTCAGAAGGAAGGGTGGGATATAAATTCAACAAATAATAAGCAGAAAAAAGCATTGTGCATCCATCAACAGTATGTTCCCCATTAATCTGGGGAAAGATCTGTCTTGTAAAAGGATCTAAAATGCAGATGGGTCCTCGCTCCCAGAAGTGGGCTTCTACAAACAGGCAGTAATCCTGGTCAACCCATTTTTTATTCAGTTAACAGGGACTTACAACCAGTTGGCTAATTAAGTAATTACAGGTTTTTTGTTTCTTTTTAAATAAAATAAATGTGTCTTTATCAAGATCCTGGGCATTTCACTTGAGTGCAAAGTAATTTACAGTAGATACCATAAAGCTCTTTTGCCAGATTCAAAAAGCTTGAAAAAGCTTCTTAGAATTGTGGAGGATCCATGTTTAAGAGATATTTTTATTAACCATGAGGAAAGGGACCAAAGTTTCTTTCAGGGCTGCCCTATGAGGCCTTCTAGAACACAGAGTACGGCTGGCGAACCAAATCTTAGTCTGCAATTAAAGCTTTAAGTAATTATACTAGCTGACTGATTAACAATTACAACCACAGCTGACAGTACAGGTTGAAATGTTTACAAAATCCATTTCCACATGGGTTGTGTAAATGCATTTTTGTTCAGAACAAGATGTTTCAGCACAAGCTTATTTTAATACATGTAGTAGAATAAGAAAAAGGGAAATTTTGTACCTGTGACAAGTGGATTTTGTCGGAGGTAACTTGGAAGGACCAGTCCAAAGAAGATAGAAAATCCAAGCACAAAAAGGTTCCGAGAAGAGTTTAAATCTATGAACTGCAGGTTAGACAGTCCGACTGCAGTAATCATCCCTGAACAAGAACAAACAGGACAGGATTTTAGCCTCTACAGTATGCAATGTGAAATACTACACAGACCACCAGTATTTCCCTTCCATTAAAAAGCAAAAACAACCTCCATCTTTGTAGAAGGTAAGAGACGTATGTTCACTTAAGGGTGCATAAATATACGTTGATCGTTTGAAGGCTTATGTTGGGCTGGGGTATTGTTTAGGGGGGATTGTTGGAGTTGCTGCTGTTGCTTTTTTATCTTTATGGTTTATGTGGAAATTGTTGGATTTGGTTGTGCATTTCTGATGTTTTGCTTATTGTTTATGACTACTTTTGTTATCTTTGTACTTGTGTAAAGATGGTCTTAACTTTGGAAAGGTGGCATAAAAACAAGGGATTGATTTATTATGTTTCACGCCTGGCCTTGGGAGCCTTGGGGTGATGTGTACCAAGCCGATACATAAATAACATTACGTTTTAAGAATATAAGAAGAGCCTGCTGGATCAGGCCAATGGTCTTTCTACTACAGCATCCTGTTCTCACAGTGGCCAACCAGCTGCCTGTGGGAAACCCGCAAACAGGACCTTAGCCCAAGAGCCGTCCTCTCCCTTCCTACTGTTTCCAGCAAAGCTGCTCCACTTCCCAGTGGGGAGGAGTTGTGGTGGACCACGTGGCCACCCACTCCCCACCGGGGGCGGGGGGCTCTGTCCCCCATTGCCTGGGGGATCCTGGCCACGTCATAGCCCGGCCAGCCAACCCGCTGTCCGGGGGGACATGGCCATGGCCGGAGGAACGAGCCAAAGGACTTCCTCTTTGGCTCGCTTCCTCAATCACCCGCCCCCCCTCCCTATTTTGGAGGTTAGGCAATGGCCTTGCTATGGACTTCGGTTGGTCGCCTTGGTTGTCCGAGGGGCCTGGTAGGAATTTTTCCACCTGGCAAATTGGCACTGGCCATACCTTGTGTGGGGGAGGGGAGGTGTGGCCATCACCTGCCCCTCCATGCTTAAGGGTATTCTGTTAAAGGAATCTGGGGGTGTTGATCTAGTCTGAAGTCCGGCTGGGGGGGCTAAGGCCTTGACACGACCCCGACGGGAACACCAGAGGGAGCTTGAGTTGTTTCGCATCGACAGGGCTCCCCCTTACAGGCCTCCCCCTTACTGGGACTTCCTGCATAATGGGCAGGAGTCAGATATAGTCAGGTTCAATCAATGCCTAAGCCAATACTGCTCACATTCTGTAATTTCAATAAAGTTGTGGCCAAAATTTGCCCAATAACATAAATCTAATATCCGTGTCCTTGTGTGAGTTATTTCCAACGAGGGGGTGGCTGCGGGGTCTCAACACGCAACTGGTATTCAGAAGCACTGCTGCCTCCAATTGTGGAAGGAGACCACAGCCACCAGTTCTTTCTGTAAAACTGCACAGCATTACTCAGCAGCCTAACAAACAATTGGGGGGGGGATGTGTGCCAGTCTACTAAGGTTTTGACCCTTTCGGCTCATGCTAACAGGTGGGTTGTACCCTGAAGCAGCATCACCAGACATCAAAGTGAGCATCTGGAAGGCACTTCTCCCAAGCAAGTCCATGAGGAAAGACAGGAGACTCGCCTGGCAGCTGGAGAAGTGGCAGCTGACATGGTTGCGCATAGAGCTCATTGCTAAACAGGCAAAAATATAAGGAGGGAAATTCAAATACCAAAGAGAGTGCAGAAGAGAGCGCCAAGCACTGGGTCAGGGAGGGATGCAAAGAGGGCGCTGAACTTGCCCACCATTCCTAGCAACAACATGAACGCTGCTCCGTACTGAATCACTCGCCGACTTCCAACCTATGAATCACACAACAAAAAGGGAGATAAATTACAATATTTCTGGCAGTTGCTCTTAGAATCAGAGAGTTGGAAGGGACCCAAGAGTCATCTAGTCCAACCCCCTGCAATGCAGGAATCTCAGCTAAAGCATCCATGACAGATGGCTTAAAAACTTCCAAGGAAGGAGAGTCCACAACTGCCCGAGGGTGACTGTTCCACTGTGATTTCATCACAAAGTTGTAAAACTGACATGGGAAACTTGGGAGACTGTTCCACTGTGATTTCATCACAAAGTTGTAAAACTGACATGGGAAACTTTTAGCCCTCCAGATGCGGGTGAACGACAACACTCATCCGTCAGTGGCTGTGCTTGCTAGGGCTGACGGGTGCCGTAGTTCAGCAGCTCTGGAAAAAATATATAATCTTTAGCTGATTTAAATGCAATATTCCATCTCCTCACTTGATGGCTCACTTGTTCGTGATGGCTCTCTGCTGAAGGACAAGAAGGAACCTCCTCAATGGGGAGGGTGCTTGGTGAGATCTGTGTATCAATATGCAGGTGGGCCTTTTTAAATTACTGGAGCATTGCACTGCCAGCCACAGAACAATCTCTCTGAGTCAATTCGGTGACTGCAGTGAAGGGGAAGGACTAGGGGTAGCTGCAACAACAGCTGCAGAGGAAAGAGATTAGGGACTCAGTGGCAGAGAGAATGAAAAGCCTCTGTTATTAGACGCATATCCCAACTAAACCTCACCATCTCCTGCTAGTTTGGTGAAAACTGCCTGACCTCGGCTTTTCCCTTGCTCCACAACCCCAGCAAGTTTAAAACTTTTTATTTTTATTTTTCAAACACTCCAGGCCGATTCCCTATGGCCACAGTTATCATGTGATTTCTTGACAGGATGATACAGCAGGCCAGTATGTTATCATGTGTTCCCAGTATTCATCAATGGAAGCAAACTGATAAAGCCACTTCAATGGATTCATCAATGGAAGCAAACTGATAAAGCCACATTCAGCTGAATGTGAGACCTGGCAATACAGATTCGTGCTTTGGGGCATTTTAGTTCAAAAAGACTATTTTTGTAGAGTTACATAACACAGAGACATTTCCATTGCTTGGGGCTACACTCTTTGAAGAGCACAACTGAACAAAGCGGTGCTTTGCACGAAACAAAGCTTCTCAGGAGAAGCACAAATCAATTCCTTGCGAAGTTTCGGTGCTGACAGTTTAACACACAAGCAGCAGAGTCCATGTGACAATCAACATTCACTTGACTTGCGTCACACTCTGTGTGTGGGCAAAGGTCTCTTCCGCCACACTTTCCCATTGCTTTATTTAGTGCTCTCTATACAATGAAAGTCCATGGGACGCAGGTGGCGCTGTGGTTAACCCACAGAGCCTAGGACTTGCCGATCAGATGTTCGGTGGTTCGAATCCCCACGATGGGGTGAGCTCCTGTTGCTCGGTCCCTGTTCCTATCAACCTAGCAGTTCGAAAGCACGTCAAAGTGCAAGTAGATAAATAGGTACCGCTCCGGCGGGAAGGTAAACAGCATTTCCGTGCGCTGCTCTGGTTCGCCAGAAGTGGCTTTGTCATGCTGGCCACATGACCCGGAAGCTGTACGCCGGCTCCCTCGGCCAGTAAAGCGAGATGAGCGCCACAACCCCAGAGTAGGGCATGACTGGACCTAATGGTCAGGGGTCCCTTTACCTTTAGGGACGCGGGTGGCGCTGTGGGTAAAAGCCTCAGTGCCTAGGGCTTGCCGATCGAAAGGTCGGCAGTTTGAATCCCCGCGGCGGGGTGCGCTCCCGCTGCTCGGTCCCAGCACCTGCCAACCTAGCAGTTCGAAAGCACCTCCGGGTGCAAGTAGATAAATAGGGACCGCTTACTGGCGGGAAGGTAAACAGCGTTTCCGTGTGCGGCTCTGGCTCGCCAGAGCAGCGATGTCACGCTGGCCATGTGACCCGGAAGTGTCTGCGGACAGCGCTGGACCCCGGCCTATAGAGTGAGATGGGCGCACAACCCTAGAGTCTGTCAAGACTGGCCTGCACGGGCAGGGGTACCTTTACCTTTATACAATGAAAAAGATTATGAACAAAGGCAAGCTGCACTGGCAGAGCATACCTCTTTGAAACCATTTCCCATGCTATTTTCCTTAAACAGCCTTTATTTCTACTACAATCCCATAAACAGACATTTTGCCCTAAGGGGATGTATAAAGCGGCAGCACCTACACTTTGGAATTCCCTGCCTATTGATATCAAGCAGGTGCCTTCGCTGTATTCTTTTCTGTGCCCGCTAAAAATGCCATTGTTTAGACAAGCCCAGATGCTCAGAAAACTGATGTGAATTCTCATCAGTTTTAGTATTTTAACTTTTTGTATGTTTAAATGTAAACCACTTTAAGGGTGGGTTTATTTTTAACAATCATTTTATGACGTAAACACGTAATACATAAAGTGCCTTTGTAACATTTGCTTGTACCATGTTCAGAAATTATTTAATCCATGACTGGAAATTACGAGAGCAAGGTAAAACAGATGTGACAGGTCCCTAGATAACTGCAGACCACCAATATTAGGCTATGGAAATGGGGCCAACCCACTACTGCACTTCCATGTACAGTGGTCCCTCTAGTTACGAACTTAATTCGTTCCGGAGGTCCGTTCTTAACCTGAAACTGTTCTTAACTAGAGGCATGCTTTCGCTAATGGGGCTTCTTGCTGCCGCTGTGACGCCGGCACGTGATTTCTGTTCTCATCATCCTGGGGCAAAGTTATCAACTCGAGGTAACTCTTCCAAGTTAGCAGAGTTTGTAACCTGAAGGGTTTGTAACTCGAGGTACCACTGTATTTTTGTAAGAAACCTCGCCCTCCCTGCCTAAAAAAAATTGCATCCAGTAGATGGCGATGTTCATATTCAGACTTTCACAAGCAAATCACTGATGATAAAAAAAAAAGAGTTAAGGGCCAAGCTACACATGACTCTAGAAATCTTGTGTCTTTAAGCACCTGTCCCCATCATGTATAAAACATGCTGGATGGAAGTACAACTTACAGCAGAAGATGTGGGGTGGAGGGGGGAGATGCTGAAACCACCACCTCCATTCCCGGCAAACCATTCCTCAAGGATATTAAACTGTATGCATATACACAGCTTATTTATTTCATTTATAAAAGTATTTATGTAATACCTACTATGGTGAGTTTCAAGGCTATGTCTAACAAGACTATTAAAACCATGACGTCTACATACAAATCAAACTAAAGTGCAGTTGATACACATAATTTAACAATCTTACTGGAACTAAACATCAGAAACTATTTAGATTACATTAGATTTATTGAATTTCTGTATTGCTTCACACACACAAAGAGTGTGATTTGTAATATACAAAAATGCAATATACAATAAAAATACAATTTTAACAAGTGTCACAATATCATCAGTGTTGGCACTTGTTAGATCCCAAAGGGGTTCCGCATGTGACTTTTATAGCGTTTTAACTCACCACACCCCAGCATTCCACTTAATTAAGTGGGAACAACCACCCCATTTCCTATTTGCAAATGGTAATGGAGAGTTGAGTCCAGCTTTTTCATGCAGTGACACGTGAAGCATCTCATGTTCACTGATCTTTAAGTACTCTGACTGCAAGAGGGTGCATTTTAAAATAATAACAACAACACAGCAACCAGACTGTGTTTTTAATATACTACTTTAACTGAACTCTGCTCTTGAGCAAGTCCCTCTCTCTTCACTAAGCATGTGCAGGGGAAGCTCCCACCATGATAAATCTCAAGCTTATTTGAACAGATATGTACCTTCGTAATCCCCAAGACTCCGATGTTGGGGCTAGAGGAAGTAGATCCATTCCCGGTGCCAAACACTCCATCTAATACACAGGAAAGGCCTTCTATGAAAATGCCCCTGCAATTGGAAGAAAAATGTTGAGATCACGCTATATAGCATGTTAGAAAAGCATGAAAACCAGTCGAGTCCAGGCAAACTCTGTAGTTAAGGGCTGGGTATTTGACACTTAAAGACGTCGTCAACTGGTCAAATATTCTTACGCATTTGTAACACAGAATACAGTGGAACCTCAGAAGCCGAACACCTTTGAACTGGAACGTTTCGGCTCCCAAACGATTGAAACCCGGAAGTGATTGTTCTGGTTTTCGTACGATTTTCGGAAGCCGAACGTCCGGCGTGGCTTCCAATTAGCTGCAGGATGCTCCTGCAGCCAATCAAAAGCTGCACTTTGGAAGCTGAACGCTTTGGAAGTCGAACGGGCTTCCGGAACGGATTCCGTTCCACTTCCAAGGTACAACTGTACTACAAATAAAACAGTGATTCCCCCCCCCCAACCTCATAAGCCACACTATCTCCTGGCCTGTAGTAGAAAGATCCAAGGAAACTCAAGCCCGTTAGAGACATCCTCTTCCTGACCTTCTCATCTCTGCCCCTTCTGCAGTTCTTGTCAACTCTCACTTTCCGGATTCCTCATGTCCTTTCCAGCTGCCTAACATGTTTTAAGGAAACTCACACTAACTTTTGTCTTTACATATGAAGCTTCTGCTATTGTCTTTCACTACTGCACAGGGGTCATGAACTGATGTCTAGCTTCTCAGTATGATTCTTTTTCATTATGTTGTTGTTGTTTAGTCGATTAGTCATGTCCAACTCTTTGTGACCCCATGGACCAGAGAACGCCAGGCACTTCTGTCTTCCACTGCCTTTTTCATTATAGCATCTACTGAATGGTCTGTTTTTTTATGTATGCATTATTATATTATGTATTATTGTTCTGTACAAATTTGTCACCGCACTGATGTTGTATTTCTTACGTATTGTTGCATATTGTTTTGTTATGGAATTGTTATCAGGATTGTTGATCTTTGCTATGCATTGTGCTCCCACTGCTATTGTACAGTGCTTTGAGCATATTTTTTTATGGAAAGGCATCATATCAATAAACATGTTGATTCTATATTTTAAAAGTATTTAGACACCCTGAACTTTACAGTCATGATGGGGAGAGGGAAAGAGGTAGTCAACTGGCCAGTCAGCTGACCACCCCGCCAATTCAAATATTTTTGAAGCCAAGCCAAACTGGATGTTTGGCAGGGCAATGCAGCACCAGAATCAGGTTGGAACATGACTGAGAAGGATGCAGTGGAGTAATTTTCTCTCTGTGGCTGCTCAGTGCAAACACGACCATAGAACCATTTCTTGATTATTCAACACTTTCTGACTGGCGGACGAACGTGTAATTGTCCCTAGTGAAAACAGGTTAGAAGTAAGGCAATGTGATATGAAATCTGCCTGTGGGATTTGACCAATTAAGGTAGTTTGATCATCGACATCACTAATTGATGCTGCAATATCGAGTTATGCAAACTCATCCTCATATATGCTACAGTTCCCACAAGTCTATAATATTGCAAAACCTGAAAGAAGTTAGGACTTTGAATCCAGGGAAATGGGGCACAGCAAAGGGTGAGAAGGAAGCAAAGTCTTTTTCAGGAGGCTCACCTGTTTATTGCATGGATTGGTGGTGGCGGAGCACAAGATAACCTCGCACAGGCATAATAATCGCCAATTGATTCAATGATGCTAGCAACCACAGCACTGAGCATTCCTATCACACCTGCAGCTGATATTGTAGGTAATCCCCACTGAACTGTGAAGACAAAAAAGAAACCATAATAGTTCTTACTGTATTTAAAGCAAAGTGACTTTTAAGGTGTAAAATGTTCTCTTAGCTCATAGGATGGCAAATTTCTGGGTTTTAGGGGTAGGAAATAGCATTTCTTCTCAAAACAGTGGTCATGCCACACAAACTGACACTTCATATGTAGTTAGCCAGCATAATAAATTGGTACCATCAGGAGGGCTTCACAGACGCATTTACATAGAATCAGAATTGTAGATTTGGGCGGGACCCCATGGGTCATGTGGTCCAACTCCCTGAAATTTCAACACACAGTCCCCCACCCAATTTGAAACCATACCGTACCCTGCTTAGCTTTTGCAATACTGAGCCTAGGGTTTGCCGATCAGAAGGTAGGTGGTTTGAATCCCCGTGATGGGGTGAGCTCCTATTGTTCAGTCATAAGCTCCTGCCAACCTAGCGGTTCGAAAGCACCTCAAACTGCAAGTAGATAAATAGGTAACCCTCCAGCAGGAAGGTAACGACATTTCCGTGCACTGTTCTGGTTTCGCCAGAGGCGGCTTAGTCATGCTGGCCACATGACCCAGAAAAACTGTCTGCCTCGGCTAGTAAAGCGACATGAGTGCCGCAACCCCAGAGTCGTTTGCAACTAGACTTAACTCTCAGGGGTACCTTTACCTTAGCAGTTTTATTAGCATCACATACAGATAGGTTTACCTGCACATCACATTTTAAAAATCCAAAAATTAGATTAAAAATAATGTGGAATATTTATCTAATGCAACCTGTCTATTTTCCTTATGAGTGGAAGCATGGACAAACTTTACCAGAGGCCATTGGACCAGATTGCCTTGAGAATTGCATCTGCCAGTTTCCCACTCTCATCTTAGATTATACAGATTCCCCCCCCCCACTAAAGCTGAATCTGCCTTCAGAACTGACCTATCATACATGGTGTGGCCAAAGAGAAAGGGGTTTATTTAGCTGACATAGCGCTAAAGGAACCATCAGCTTAATTCAAACCACAGTTAAACCAAGAGGCATGAAACTGCCTTAGACCACCAGCCCAGCTATGTCAGTATTGTCTCTAGTCTCACTGGCAGCAGATCTTCAAGACAGAGATCTTTCACAGCCTTGCTCCCTTTTCACTGGAGATCCTGGGCGGCTGAACCACAGACCTGGCAGCAACTTGGGAGCCGAATCACAAACTCTCATTTCTGCAAGCACATGCCAGTGACCAGGTAACTTCTTCTGTACTCATGCAAGGTGCAGGAAAAAAATAAACTAATGTAAGTCTGGAGTAATTGTATCAAAGAGCAAAGCTTTGTGGGAAACTCTCCCTTAAGTGCTTGCTAAATTCACTTACATGGATAAGGAACCTTGAACCATGGAGCTACCAGAAGCACTCCTTGCCTGGCATCAGTGCGTGCATAGAATCCGTACTTTGTACTATCAGGTGGAAACACATCTGTCACAGTGAAGATGAAGCACAGCAACCAGGATACCAGAATGGCTAGAATGATCTGCAGTGGGAACAGAAAGGGGCTTAAAGCACACCAGCAAGGAAACAGTAATTACCCACAGAGGATCTCTTACCAACTCTGCATAATAATATTCAAACTGGTGTTGGGGAGTTGTTGCATCAAGGATTTTGTGAACACATTCCCTTTACAATTTTAAAAAGACCCTTCTAGTTCAAAATGGATCCTTTCATACAATTTCCCCAAACTGGGAATATCTCCAAATAAGCACTTAAAGGAGCGCCATTAATTCCTTTTAAGACAAAACTAAGCATTGTGCGCACTGATAAGCTCACAACAATTTACAAAAATAAAATGAGTGGATCCCAAGAGGGCTAACTGAAGAATAAATAAATTGATTTGGGGTGGGGGTGCTGTAGCACACTCTGTAGAGCTCTTTAGGAACTGGATTTAGCATTATCTGAAACTGCGGCCAAACTCACAGGCAGGGTGTCAAGGTGATGGCCACCCCCTGTTCATTCTCAGCATCTGATTATCAGAGATACACTGCTGATGGACATGGAGGCTCCGTTCAGCTAAACTGCCATCAACAGACCCCATAGCTAAATCTGCTTACCGCATTTTTTGCTCTATAGGACACACTTTTTCCCCTTCAAAAATGAAGGGGAAATGTGTGTGCGTCCTATGGAGCGAAGAAGCCACAGCCCCGCGACCCTCTCCCGGCTGGAGAGGTGACACGCGGCTATGACAGGAGCCTCTCCACTGCGCGCCTTTCCGCTGCTCCCCGACCTGCTCTTTGGGGCTGGTGGTGGGCTTCCCCCCACCAGCCCCAAAGAGCAGGTCAAAAGGAACCTGAAGCCTGGAGAGCGAGAGGGGTCGGTGCACACCTACCCCTCTCGCTCTCCAGGCTTCCAAGGTAGCCGCCTGAAGGCGACTGAACGGACCTTAAACAGCACCTTGTTTTAGAGGGGGGAAACAAGAGGGGGGAAATTCTCCCCCTCTCTGCGCAGCACCTCCTGCTGCTTTGCTGAAGGGGCGCTGGGCAGAGAGGGGGAGATTTTCCCCCCTTGTTCTCCCCCCTCTAAAACAAGGTGCGTCCTATTGTCCGGTGTGTCCTATAGAGCGAAAAATACAGTAATTCTTTAAAAAACCATTTAAGTGGGTAACTTGAAGTGAATGCCAATAATTTTCACTGACTGAGCCTGAATTTCCATGCCTTGGAGAGTGAATGGTTTCACTACCACTCTCTCCACATCCTTCATTGCAGTCCTCTGACTAAAGAGCCTGAATCCCCTTCGCGTGAGGCTCAGGTGGTCTGGAGGGCCTTCCATCAGCTTTGGTTAGAGGCCCACCTGCACCCCTATCTGGACAAGGATAGCCTAGCGTCTGTTGTCTATGCTCTGGTAACCGCTAGGTTAGATGACTGCAACACATTATACCTGGGGCTGCCTCTGAAGATGGTTCAGAAACTTCAGCTGGTGCAGAATTCAGTGTCCAGGTTGCTCACTGGGGCAAGATGGTTTCAGCACATAAAGTCAATCTGGCCTAACTCCCCTGGTGGCCAATTAGTTTCCAGGCCCAACGCAAAGTGCTGATGTTGACCTATAAACAGCTCAGGACTGCAATACCAAGGACCACTTCTCTTCATATGAACTAAACCAGGCCCTGTGATCATCATCTGAGGCTCTTCTTTGTGTGCCTCCTCTGTGCAAGGTCTAGAGGGTGGCAACATGAGAACGGGCCTTTTCTGCGGTGGCTCCCCATTTGTGGAATGCTCTCCCCAGGAAGGCTCATCTGGTGCCTTCATTACAAATCTGCAGGCACTAGGCAAAAACATTCCTCTTCTCCCAGGTCTTTCGCTAATTTATGGTCTTTTAAACAGCTACTTGAAGATGCTGGGAGTGGTCATGAGGAGATTTGGGGCAAGGTGCCATCAACATGCCAATGAAATTTAGCTCTTTTTCTCCATGAGACCTGAATCAGGAGAGGCCCCATGGGCCCTGAACCACTTCCTGGCTGCAGTGATGGGATAGATGAGAGAAACTAAACTGAGCTTGAAACCCAGCAAGCCGGGACGCTGTGGGTGATTGTCTCCCATTTCTGAGAAATCAGCCAGTTGCCTGCCCTGGGTGGGGTTGCACTTGCCCTAAAGAAGCAGGTATGTGGTCTGGGGATGCTTCTGGGTCCAGCTTTGTCGCTGGAAGCAGAGGTAGCATCAGTTGCTTGAAGTCCCTTTTACTAGCTCCAACTCGCATGAGAAGCTGCAGCAATCCCTGGACCTGGTTAGCTGAATCACAACAGCTGCGACGTTGGTGACACTGAAGGTTGGATTACTGCAATGCGCTCTGTATGGGGTTTTTCCTGAGCTTGGTCCAGAAACTGCAGTTAGCAACCACGCTGCGGCATTTAACGCTTACAGGAGTGGGATTCTCTCAGCATCTCACACCTGTGCTCAGAGTTCTACACTGGCTGCCAATTGGTTACTAGCCCAAGTTCAAGATGTTACCATTAGAATATAAAGCCATTATCATATTGGGACCAGTTTACTTGAAGGATCACTTTGCCACATATGTACCCACTCAGCCACTTTTACAAGGGCCACATAATGTTCTCATCTTTTAGTGCCACAGTTCCTACACTCTGGAACTTCCTTTTTATTCTTGCCCTGTTTATGCAAGTCTACTGACAAGCCTGCCAACCTAGCAGTTCGAAAGCACCCCCCCCCGGTGCAAGTAGATAAATAGGGACCGCTTACTGGCGGGAAGGTAAACAGCGTTCCGTGTGCTGTGCTGGCTCGCCAGATGCAGCTTTGTCACGCTGGCCACGTGACCCGGAAGTGTCTCCGGACAGCGCTGGCCCCCGGCCTCTTGAGTGAGATGGGCGCACAACCCTAGAGTCTGTCAAGACTGGCCCGTACGGGCAGGGGTACCTTTACCTTTACTTTTACTGAGACATATAAAGCTGGTGTGTACTTTAAACTGTAAATTTAGTTTACAATGAATATTTTTATCTGTTGGTTTTCTTCTTTTTGCTTTTTAAAAACTAGATTTTACTGCTGACTTTTATTCACATTTTAAATGCAAACTTTATATTCTTTGTAAACTGCTTGGAGATTTTATGCACAGTTAAGGGGTATACAAATTTTGTAAAATAAATAAAATTGCACTAAAATAAACACCAGCAGACAGAACAATAAAACACAGTGAAAGCTGAAGAGAGAACTTACAGGAAACATCTTAAAAAGCTGTAACCGGTATGCAGTCCATCCTTTTTTTGATTTATAGATGGGTAATGGGAACTTGACATTTCGGGCATACTGAGAAAACAATAGCACTAGGAAAATAGTCCTAGAGAAGGGAGAGGAAGGAGAAAAGTTAATGAATCAATTAACTCTTCACTGAGGTAATAGTTAGCCAACAGAAGCAACTGCGGTTTCTAGCAGTTACTGCTGTGCTTACAATAACAGAGATGGAAGTGATGCAAGGATCATCTAGTCCAACCCCCTGCAATGCAGGAATTGCAAATAATAATAATAATAATAATAATAATAATAATAATAATAATAATAATTTATTTGTATCCCGCCCTCCCTGGCCGAGACTAACATCATAAAAACAACACAATAAGCATAAAAACAGACATCAATAAATTAAAATACATCTTAAAATTAATTCAAGCAAGTTAAAACCCGGGCAGGTGGCAATTATCAGGGTGGAATTGAGAGTGGTTCATAATGGCCAGGGCCAACTGTTTCCACTGATCATACAAAGACCTGTGAGCGGATTGGGGGCCTCCTTCGGGCTTGTTTTATACAAAGGAAAGTAAGTCAAACTGCATCCTGCCCAAAGGCCTGGCGGAATAGCTCCGTCTTGCAGGCCCTGCGGAAAGATGTCAAATCCTGCAGGGCCCTGGTCTCTTGCGGGATGCGTTCAAGTAGGCTAGGGTCAAGGCCGAAAAGGCCCTGGTTCTAGTCAAGGCTAGTCTAATTTCCCTGCGGCCCGGGGTCTCCAAGATGTTTTTGTTTGAAGACCGTAAGGTCCTCTGTGGGACATACCAGAAGAGGCAGTCCCGTAGGTACGAGGGTCCTAGGCTGTGTAGGGCTTTAAAGGTCAAAACCAGCCCCTTAAACCTGGCCCTGTACTCCACTGGGAGCCAGTGCAGCTGGTAAAGCACTGGGTGAATGTGATCCCATGGCAAGGACCCCGTAAGGAGTCTCGCCACCGCATTCTGCACCTGCTGGAGTTTCTGGGTCAGTTTCAAGGGCAGCCCCATGTAGAGAACTAAAGAATCCCTGACAAGTGGCCACCCAACCATTGATTAAAATCCTCCAAGGACTCCACCAGCTTCTGAGAGAGTCTGTTCCACTGTCGGGCAGCTCTTACTGTCATAAATTTCTTCCTCGTGCTTAGTCAGAATCTCCTTCCTTGCCACTTGAATCCATTGGCTTGCGTCCTACTTTCTGGAGCGGGAGAAAACTAACTTGGTCCACCTTCTTTGGGATACCACTTTAGATTTTTGAAGATGACTATCATATCACCTCTCAGTTTTATTTTTGTATATTTAAAACTACAGTAAAACTGCATATTTAAAGTACAGTAACTGCTGCAGAAATATAACTGTATCATGGCAAAAGTTTTTATTTTTAGTCAGAGAAAGTAAGGAATTAGCCTTTTAAAATGAAAAAGTTACTTAATGTTGCCATTTCTTTCTTTCTTTTTTTAATGAGCTTTGTAAGCATAAGCTTAATTTAATTTGTTCCGCTCACAAGCTTTAAGAACTGAAATCCCACAGTGAATTTGCCTTTCCGCCTGCAAAACTTATGCCCCCTAGAACAGATGAAGTTTTGTCTGGGAGAGAAGCAAACTTACTACCGTGGGAGGCCAGCTTTGGCTTTAGCGTGTTTTGAAGTCTTGCCGAAATCCACATTTTAGGAAGTGAAGCAAAACCAAAACCAGCAGCAGCAGCAACAACAACAATAACCCTGCCCAGTGCTAAGAAAGAAATCTAATCTTCGGTCTCCTCAACGTTACGGTCCTGCAAAGTGTCAGTAGGGTAGTTGGGAGATGAGGTTAGGCAGCCAGGTTCTCTTTTTAAGCTCAGGGTCAAGACCTTCACTGTGTGGGGACCTGGAATTTCCCCTTATTTTTATATTAGGTATTTATATATTGCTTAATAGGGGGACAGGAGGGGCTAGACTGATATCTCATCTTCTGAGCTTGTTTCTATAATGTGTAGAATGTGTTTTAAGCTGCCTGTAAGCTGCCTTGAGCTCAAGAAAAGCTCAATAAATCAATTAAATAAATAAATGCATTGCTCAGGGGCCATTCTTCCTCACTTGGCTGCCACAGGATGTGAAACAATGGCCAAAGTAAGCAAACTTAAGGTCTAAATTAGCCTCTGAAATAAGCAGGCTTCCAATTACATAACCAAATCCTCAGATATCAACAAAATGTGTGTGTCATTATACATGTTCAGACTTCCTATGCTGGAAGAAGGCTGTCTTTATGTTAAGTGCCAAACACAGCTTCGAGAAATGCTAATCCACCGAGAACACAGCTACAAATTCCTGAACAAACTTCCCTGAAATTCGAGGAGGGCAGGTCACATCCCAGTATATAAAAGAGTGAGGCCGAAATCACCTTTAGCTCAAAAGGAAACAGACAAAGACCTTTGTTCTTCTCCTTCAGGCACAAAGATCTGAACTCTGCAGTGGCATCATTTGATACCATGACCTTCTGCTAAGCATGAATGAGTAAAAAAAAGAAAGCTTTCTTGTGCTGTTTTTTTTAAAACGTGAAAGCCTTAATGGTAGTTTTAAAATATGGCTTCTTTATGGAACAGCATTTGATCTAGTGCTGTCAAATTATTTATACAAAGTTCCTGGGATGTTGTTGTTTTTTTGGGGGGTGCGCTTGTGTGAAGAGGGTTCACCAACATCCTAAGACCAGCTTCTACTCTTTCATACACTTTTTTGCACCTGTTCACAACTAACTATTCCCTCAATCTGCTGCTAATTCTGTGAATTAAAAAACCCACACAAATGACTTCTTTATTACACAGTCCTAGCCAAGGACGTGGGTGGTGCTGTGGTCTAAACCACAGAGCCTAGGGCTTGCCGATCAGAAGGTCAGCGGTTCGAATCCCCGCGATGGGGTGAGCTCCCATTGCTCGGTCCCTGCTCCTGCCCACCTAGCAGTTCAAAAGCACATCAAAGTGCAAGTAGATAAATAGGTACTGCTCCGGCGGGAAGGTAAACGGCATTTCCATGCGCTGCTCTAGTTTGCCAGAAGCGGCTTAGTCATGCTGGCCACATGACCCAGAAGCTGTACACCGGCTCCCTAGGCCAGTAAAGCGAAATGAGCGCCACAAGCCCAGAGTGGTCCGCGACTGGGCTTAACAGTCAGGGGTCCCTTTACCTAGCCATCAGAATCATGTAAGTAAATGTACTGAAATTGCAGGTCCGTTTTGCCACTGATGATTATGGCAAACAATACCCTCATACTGTCCTCACGCTGAGGGGGGGGGGGCTGGGATCCCTGTTGCCAGAGCAACCAGGCTGCACCTCCTCATGCATCATTCCAATCCACACCTGCTATTAAGTGGGTCAGAGTCAGACTGCAGAGACAAGGTGAATTCAGGGCTGCCTTGCTTCCTATAACAACGTTGATTTAAGAGGTCTGTCTGTGCCCCAAGAGTCAATAATCCATTTAACTTGAACCTGGCCCTTGAGCCAAGGCTTTAAAGGTAGGGCTGCTTTGGGTTGCTGATAATCTTCCCTGCAGGCCCTAGAGATTGATGTCCCAATTTGATGGCTAAAAACAAACACTGAAATTCCAACAGTTTTGTATGTTTTTAAACTTGATTGTAAGTTGCCTAGAGACTGCTTTGTGGTCAGGTGATAACACACATACACAAAAACATTATCAACAATTCTGGTAATATTTGAGTGATCAACTTGGAATGAAGACAGTTTTCCTAATAGTCACATTTATTCTGATTTCTTGGAATTTAGTGGTCGTGTTTTAAACTTGACCACCGAACCTAGAACTTACAGGAGGGGTAGAATATGCATGAAGATTGCAAGAGGACTTAAGAATGACGTTCTGCTTCTGAACATATGAATATGCCACAGTTCTGTGAGCAAAGGCTAACACCAGGCCTCATAATCATTTTTTCTGTAATAGTAGTGGGATGCTGCTGAATTGGAAATGTATTGGGATCCAATATAGATCCGGTCTTAAAGGATCTACATTGGCTCCCAGTACGTTTCTGAGCACAATTCAAAGTGTTGGTGCTGACCTTTAAAGCCCTAAAAGGCTTTGGCCCTGTATACCTGAAGGAGTGTCTTCACCCCCATCATTCACTGAGATCCAGCTCTGAGGGCCTTCTGGCAGTTACCTCATTGCGAGAAGTGATGTTACAGAAAATGAGGCAGAGAGCCTTCTCAGTACTTGTGCCCACCGTGGCCAAGCTTCATGGCCGAGTGGGGATTCAAACCCTGGTCTCCCAGTTCCCAGTCTGACACTACTACATTGTTAGCTGCTTTAGGCATCTGGAAAGCCAGCACACCATTGCTTAAGAAATACTTTAGAATATAACTTAGAAGGATTCTCATTTCATAGATTCATCTTCATTTTAAGATAATGGCCCTTAGTACCGCCTAGGAGAGGCAATGGTCAGTAGTGACAGACATTGGCTGTTTTATACTGACTGACTGCACTTCATCAACTGTTGAGGGACAAAGGATACTCACAGCATGGCTATGCCCCAGTGTTTGCCTGCTCTTTCTCCAGCAGCTTGGAAGCCAGAAAGCCCAATGAGAGCCACAGTTGGTGTAATCGTCAGAGGTCCAATGTATCTCAGGAGCGCTCCTGGCAGGCCCAGGAACCCAATCACCACTTCTATCAAAGATGACATAATAATAGCACCTTGGATCTGAACACAGAGAAAAATAATAGTAATTTAGATTTTTAAAGAAATTCTATGTTTCTGAGGCTGTTTGTTTTTTTAATGGGTGGATGAACTGCAAGTCAAATAATGCAGTGACTAGGCAGAACTGGGCAATGGCATGTGTTATTCAGCTAAGTGCTTAAGCAGACGTTTTCTGGGCTAAAGAATATCTGAAGGTCAGAGGTATGTTCTGTGGTACCAACAGAAGTCGGTTCAATAGCAAAGCTCCCAACTTCATCCACTTCCTCTTACCGCTTAAGCACACAGCTTGCTTTCAATGCACAACGGGGGTCATTAGACCAGCCTGGCCGTTGTGTCCATAGCACATCACACTGTCATACAGGAAGACCTGGGTTCCAAGCTAACCTTTAAAGCTCTCAGATCGAACCGGCAAGGGCTGGTGGCGCCACGGAGGTGATGCTCTTAGCTCCTAGGGGCAGAGTGTATGATGCATTTGGTCACACGTGCTCTTTAGAAGCTGGCATAGAGCAGCGCTGTGGTCTCAGGAGACTGCCAGCCCCCCCTTGGCTGCAGGCCTCTTGGCAGGATGGAACTACGGTTTGAAGATGGGGAAGAGAGAGGGGATGTTTTTAAATTGAGGAATAACTGGCAGCCCAAAGCAATGGGATGGGAGAAAAGTTCCATGACACACGTGTGAACTGGAGTCTATTCTATTTTTTCTTATGGATATTTGCATCTAAAGAATGATCATTGGAGGAGAAGGAGAACCCGAATAGCAAAACTACACATGGCTTTGGGGAAACGGGACACTCCTTACGATTGTACCTGGCTTTCCAAAACAGAAACACAATAAATGCGGATTATCCTCATTGCAGAGCAGAGACAACCCAATAATTTGTTAGAAGCTAATTGGTTATTTTGGCTATGACTGGTCAGATGAGCATATCACAAGATGCAGAATGCCAAACTCCCCTGACGTGGGAGCATGTCTCCATCAAGACCATAGTGCACCTCAAGTTGTTTTGGGGAGGGGGCTTCGCAGGCACAATTAACATACAGAAAAGATTAAAACCTGCATGTAACGAATGTGTAGAAAAAGTTACATGCAAAGAGAAGAACGAAAGAGGGTAACAATTTCAACAGTTCAAGGCAGCAGGGCATCTGGATGAAAAGAACCTCCTGAAGTGAGGACATGGGACTGACTACATGGTGCAAGTTACCTCTCGTATCCTAGGGTACCAGATATGTTCCGTATGCAGCAGTTCTGTTGTTCCATTGGTAAGCATTACAGCTTAGGAAGGCAAAAAGAAATATTTCGCATTACGGCAAAATAAAGCACAACGATTCCATGCACCCCAGCATTAAATTCTGTATGAAACAAGAAGGTGCCCAAGTCCAGAATTACAACACAAAGAGGATAGTCTGCTTAAGGCGTCTCCAACCTGTCCAACCTTTCTATGAAAATCCCCAAGAAAGACGACTGCAGAGCTTTAGCAACTTGCTCTGTTGAAACTGAACCATGATACCCCCCGAATACCAGGTGTTGGGTAGTAAGACCAAGGCACAGTCGTCACCTCCAGAATCTGCTTGTCAGTGATCAATTGGCATCTGACTGGCCATGGCTAGAAAGGCTGGCACAGGCAAGATTCCTATGAGTTGCTCCTGAGGTTAGTACAGTGCTGAACCTCCTATTTCCTTCTACAGCTTTAACCCAACTGTTTGGCCATTCTAGTGAATGAACAGGATCTACCACCACCAATCTGCCACACCCCCCAGCACTTCTTATGGACATCATTTTATATATTTTGCTTTTTAAACACCACCCCATCGTTGTTTATTTGTTCCCTCACATAATTTGTAAATCATCCATTCTGTATTTAGGCTGTGTTCTAGATGAATTCATTCCTCAAGGGCTAATCTCTAATGCCAGTTTCAAGACTGTTGAAACTAGGAATGGACAAGTAACCAGAGTTGGCACAAAAGGAGGCAAAGGTCCTCTTAAGAGCTGCAGAGGGGTGATTCAGAGTGCAGATAAAGTGACTTTTGCATATTATTTCTCCAGATCTGTCGCCTGTTAATTGGGATGGCTAGACCGCAATAGCAGCTCTCGTCTGACGTCTCATGAAGGTTAGAAGTGGTCAAGGAAGAACAAAGATTCTTTTCATAAACAAAATGTTCTATATTTATGATTCCTAATTTCCATACAGTAGCTCTTCCCTGAGGCATGCAGAATGTAGCCATCCTGATCTATTAGAGCTGCAGTCAGGCTATTTGACCTAAAATCCTGCAATTAGGACACAAGAATATATGCTCAGTGTCATTGATGCCCAGCGGGGCCTGAGCTTCTACAGAAAAACAGATTCTGTAACCAGAAAACCAAAGCAGCACAATTATTATACAAACAAAATTGAAAGCATCTTATTTTGTACACTTGTTTTGAGATTATTATTTTAGAATTTGGAAGCGTTTGCCTTTTTATTGTCATCCATTTGGAAAAGAGGATTTGCAGGACTACGAAGGAACTAGGACTTCAGCTGAGCAGCGTATGGACATGTGTCTTCTGACTGTGCATGAAGCCAGCCAAGGCGAGTCAATCAGGGAAACAGAGGCAACACTCCCCAGCCCAAAATATCACATTCATATTGAATATTCGTGAATTATCAAACTTGGTGAATATGCCAACCTCTCTTGCAGCTGCAGATACAGTTGAAAGTGTGCTTCTTGTTTCACTACATTTACTCAACACAAAAATCACTCTTGTAGAATAAGGACCCTGAATCTTGGTGAATGTATGTATTACACACTGTATTTTTGAGATTTTTTAACTACTGGTGGTAACAATGCCCCTCCCTTTGGCTCCTCCGCATGTCACAGGACCTCCTACCATACTGCCAAACTACTTCCTGCAATGTCAAGTAGAGCGAGTGCAAATCTCAGTTCAACCACGGACTTATAGAGCTGACCTTAGACCTCTCAGCCTTAATTGCTCACTGCAACATGGGAACAATAATGGCTTTTCATGGATGCTTGTTGTTTGGAAGATGAGGTAAGAACTCTTTGCAAGCTTTGGAGCTAATGATAGGCCACCATCTCAAAAAAGATTCCACATAATCTTCTTAGATACCTGTTTAGGCTTTCCTGGGAACCCAGCATATATTTTAATTCTCTAAGGTGCTTCAAAGCAAAGTTGCCCTGAGTCATCTGGGCTTGGTCAATCTGTAGCAGAGTGCTTTCCTATTCTGCTTCCTTGCTGGGCCGTGCCACATTCAGCAAGGAAAAACAAAAACCTATGTAATCACTGGACCACTTTCCAGTTTGGGACTTGTAGGTTCTCTCTAACCATTCCAAAAATGGTTTCTGCTTTCAGATGCTCAGGAAAAGAACCTGCAGCCCCTTCAGAAAAGGCAAGCAATCGGCTAAGAATGTGGACACTGTTGCTACTCTCTTTCCTCATAGGACAGTTGTTTCTCATCAAGTGCAATATTAGCGTTGGCTGCACTGTAGTCTTAAGTAACAGATCTGGCCCTGGCCTCTAGTCATGTAAACGCGCCAATTATTTCCAAAAGTACTTTGTGCTATTTTATACTTGTTTGCCCTGTTAAGACCTGTCAGAAAGAATATACGTAGGAGAATGAACACACACACACACACACACACACACACACACACAAGCACACACACACACACCCACCATCACAAAAAATTATCATGTTCTAGTTTCCTTAGACTTGCCAATGTAGTCAAGACACTGTGGCTCCAAATAATGCTATACAAATGTTGTATAAGCAGGGCAGGAATAATAAAAAATGGGTTTTCAGAGTAGAAATCAGGCTCATTCTTTAGTGTTTGCTGTGAATAAACCATGGTTTACCATAACCATGGAACCAAAAACAATGGTTTAGCATTAGAAGGACAAACTAAAACACTTGGTTCACACACTACCTCCTCCTCCTCTGGCATGGCCATGTGGCGTTTCGGTTCTACTACTCTTTTTTAGACAAACCACAGCTTGTTTGTGACATCCAGACCAGGACAAACTGCAGTTATGCTCAACTATAGTTAGTAGAAAAAGCCAAGTTCAAACTGTACTTTTTAAGGCTAGCTTCTTTTCACAAACACACACGGGGGGGGGGGAGGATGGTGAGGGGATGAGGGTCAGTGCACAGGAATCAGAGGAGCAGGACCCATCAGCACAGCCAGAGGGGCCCCCCGTCTCCACAAACATGTCAGACTCTGAGACGTAGATGCTCTAGTAATAATAATTATTATCATTTATACCCCGCCCTCCCCAACCATAGCTGGGCTCAGGGAGGCTAACACCAGTAAAATTACAGTACAAACATAATGGGGGGGGACCAATTTAAAATGCAGCCTCATTTTAAAAGTAGCCCATATATCAAAACCGTAAGGGGAGGGAAACATAAGGGTCAGACTGAGTCCAAACCAAAGGCCAGACGGAACAGCTCCGTCTTGCAGGCCCTGCGGAAAGATGTCAAGTCCTGCAGGGCCCTAGTTTCTTGTGACAGAGCATTCCACTAAGTTGGGGCCAGTAATGAAAAGGCCCTGGCCCTAGTTGAGACCAATCTACCCACCTTGCGACTTGGGAACTCCAAAATGTTGTCATTTGTGGACCTTAAGGTCCTCCAAGGGGCATACCAGGAGAGGCGGTTCTGTCGGTACATGGGTCTCTAGGAGGCTGAGGCAGGCTAGACTCCCCAGCCCAGCTCACTAGCTGACCTAGGAGGAGCTGTGTCAGTGGATTAGGCTCAGGACAGGTGGGGGTCACCTGCCCTATCAAGCCCAGATGCTGCGATCAAGATTCAAGGGATAAAAGAGATGGAAATTGCTTTTGCTTACCTGTGTTGTTGCATCTCCATTTGTCCAAAGAGAGAATAGCTCTGGCAGGAGCCAAGAATGCAAAAGCGCTGGCTTGGAACAAAGGTAACCTGAAAGAAAGAAAAAGAGAAAAAGGACATAGCTCAAACTTTTTGTGCAGTGTCATAACTTTCATGCAGATTTTTTTCTAAGGAAAAGAAGAATCAGAAGAAGTCCTTCTTGGATGTGTTAGTATGCATTTGACCAGATTACACAAAATGTTGACTTAAATACCAATAAGATAAATGAGAGTGAGGAAGGAGTCCACATCCCAGCTTATCTGTGGACTATTTGGGAGGCTTTTGACAAGCCACAGCCAGTGTTATATGACCCAATTAGCAAAATGGCAATATTAGAGTGAGCTCTCTCATGAAAGAGACAGGTAAGTAATATTTTTTAATACAATCGACTCCTGGGAGTTTTTTCCTAGAGAGTGGCATGGACAGTTTAATAAATAATTTCCCCATACTGTAGTCATGTATTGATTATGCAGTAGAATTCAAAGTCCTAAATGCTCGGGCTGTGCATAGTTCAGAGGTCAGCGGAAACCGCACCAGATGGTCCAGCAGGGCTCCTTTACATGAGCTCCAAGATCCAGATAAAAGGCAGTCTCAACAATTGTTTCAATATTGCTCAGTGTGGTGCTGATCACATGAAGGTTGCATGTTCGATCCCCGTAAGGGACAGCTGCATATTCCTGCATTGCAGGGGGTTGGACTAAATGATCCTCAGTATCCCTTCCAACTCTATGATTCTATTCATTTTTAATATCCCTAGCCACCAAAGTCCTTATAGTGTGAGGCAGGTTAGAAATCTCTTCCCCATGCCGTAGCAAGAAATAGGTTCTAGACCTAGGAGCCAACTCCTAGGGGCCATAGGGGCTTCGGCCCCCGCAAAGTTGATGGGCATTCCCATTCAAATGCTGTGTGTGCACTGCGTTATGTGATCCATATGCAAGGCGGGTCTTACCTCATCTGGGCCCCCACAATATTTTATTCAAGTTGGCATGGAACCCCTGGTTCTAGAGCAGATTGGGGGGGGGGGTTGGGGGGGAGCTACAAAAGAGGAAGAGGAATAGCCAAAAGATTCCCATCCCGTTCTGCTGATAGAAGCCTTACCATCATCTGAGTGACACTGTTGATACAACCCAATGTATTTGTGACCACACAGAGGGGCTGTGGCAACATATCAAACTTTGGGAAGTGTAGTACAGTGGTGCCTCGCAAGACAAAAAGAATCCGTTCCGCAAGTCTCTTCATCTTGCGGTTTTTTCGTCTTGCGAAGCAAGCCCATTAGCTGATTAGCGCTATTAGCGGCTTAGCGAGCTTAGCAGATCAGCTGATAAGCGGCTTAGCGGCTCAGCTGATAAGCGGCTTCGCGGCTTAGCGGATCAGCTGTTAAGCGGCTTAGCGGATCAGCTGATAAGCGGCTTAGCGATCAGCTGTTAAGCGGCTTAGCGGATCAGCTGTTAAGCGGCTTAGCGGATCAGCTGATAAGCGGCTTAGCGGATCAGCTGTTAAGCGGCTTAGCAGATCAGCTGATAAGCGGCTTAGCGGCTTGCGGAAAAGGGGGGGGGAACCGTGCAGGAACTCGCAAGACATTTTCGTCTTGCAAAGCAAGCCCATAGGAAATTCGTTTTGCGAAGCACCTCCAAAACGGAAAACCCTTTCGTCTAGCGGGTTTTCCGTCTTGCGAGGCATTCGTCTTGCGGGGCACCACTGTATCTGTATTATACAAGATGTTTTGGCAGAATATCATTATTTATAAAGTGCACATAAACAACTCAAATTTGCACAGGCAATCAGCCGTGCCATTTGCTTTTTAAGAGCAACCCACACAACTATCCATATCAATCAAGTAAGGTCAATGCTGGAAGAAACACAAAGGAATATTCGCCTGATTTATAACATGAGCAAAAACTGAACACTATTCTTTGTAATAGCAGAGAGGTACACTGGGCGAATGACTCAATATCACGGGGATTTTGTTGGCTCTTGTGCTCTGCCCCTGGTAAAGTTGTTGCTCTTCTCCCTCACGTACACATTACCCTTTCAAAAGCCCTCTAATTAAGTGTAGGCAATTAAATACATTCTTCAAATGTTAGATCACTGAGTGTTTAGAATTTAGTTCCAGAAAGGGTTTCTTTCTTCTCTGTGGGGTAAAAATAAGAATCAGTCCATGTCTATACATACCTAAATCAAATTGCATTTAAGCCATGAGTTCACTTTTTATAGTGATTAAGGACTGATCTTTTTAGCATCTTACAGAATCTGTGACTTCTTATTCCGAGCAAATTTATTTGGGACATGTGAGACATATCAGACTTAACAAGTGCATTTCTTGCTTCTCAAACAGTTGTCACAATAACCCCTTTGTCAAAAGTCTGTCAGCTAGCATGCAGTAAATACTTTCAAGTATAACCGGGGTGGGGTGGAAGGAATTAGTGCTACTTTCTTACAGGTTTTGTTACAGTCAAACATTATATACATTTTGTTAATTAACAAACGTAAAACATTTTAAAAATGAGTACACAGAGAATCCAAAAGGTTTAAGAGAAAACCTGGAGATACTATTTTAAAGGCTGGGGCGTAAAAACAATCTTGCATCTATTCTATTCACTTATGTTCTACTAATGCACATTTAGAGTTCTTCCAGGTGGCAAGAGCAATAATTAAGATTTTTCACAGTCTTTTAGATGAACCTATGCTGGTGTAAATAACTTGGATTCTTAAAATCAGAAGTAATAGCCAGAAACCATCAAAGTATTTTTGTACCAGTGGAATTTGAGCTTGCGAAATACAGAAAAGTTTGACTTAAAGAGAAAGGGGAAGATTAAAGGACTGAAGTCTGGTACAGAAGTACCATTCTCAAATTTCCTGTTCATGGTTAGGAAACCAGCTGTGTGGTGTAGATTCTTACACTCCCTCCATCTCACTTCCCCAGTCTGCTTTCATCACGATGCAGTGTGCCAGTACTAACCATGCTTAGCACTGATTTTTGCAGGGAGAAAACCAGAAGTGAGAGCTCTGTCTTCTAGTGCTTATTTTAAGGAAGATTTTTACATATGGTTGCTATAGCCTTTGGGCTTCCTCTGCTCAGGGAAGAACTGCTTTTAAGGTTTCTAAGAATTACAGAGCAGGGCAGTTCACAGAGAGGAGCGAGATTTCCTTTCTGGGAACTATAGCATCATGTCTTGGAAGAAACAGCAGGAACATTCTGAGCAAGTCAGGAAAAAACAAAGGACAAAAAATGTCCCTTAGATTGGTACAATTGATATATTTCTGTGGATCACTTGATATGAAACTAGATCATATCTACTTTAATTCAAGAAACTTGAAATTGTATTGCCCAGGGCTTGAGGTTTTTCTTTGGGAAGATTCTCTTCAATCATCTTCGTTTATTTAAACAGGCTTAACTGAACTCTCCTACTGAGCTGCTGCTATCTTACCACCCAATATTCTATTTCATATGTAAATTATGCCAAATACCTTGTTTTTGAGGGAAAGACTCCAAGACTTGATATTACTTGGAAGAACAGGTGCCATGGAAGGAGATAACAAGAGCCTAATACAATGAATTGTTAATATTATTTTAAATTTTTGGTATATATTTAGGATAAATATATAGAAAGAAGTACTGGAGCAGAATTCCCTGCTACCACAAAGGATATTTTTGAGGGGTGTGGGAGTTAAATATATATTTTGGAAAGGCACAGAGAGCAAAACTACCCACAAAACAGTGCGTGCTCTCCACAACCATACTTGTATCAACTAGTTTATCCCCTCAATGCTTACAGTGAGCTGGAATCACCCCCAGTTAGCAAGGCAGAGAAGTGAATTTTAGACTGAGAAGAGGTCAGTTGCTGTTGCTTTTGGTCCCCATTTTGGATTGCTAATGTGCCACAAATGCGCGCAGCTGGATGAGGGCCCTTTGCCCTGGCTCAGAGGCAAAGCGCATGTTTGCAAGCAGAAGGCTCCGTGCTCTATCGTTAGTAGCATCTCTGGGGAAATGACCGGAAGGATGGGAAGGGCCTCTAGTGGAGTTTTTTCAGAGACAACCAGTGGACCAACCATCTCACTTGGCATAAGGCAGGTTCACATGATTCAGATATTTGAAATAGCAGTCATGCTTCAAAAAAAAAGTTTCAATAGCTAATTATTGTTTTAATAAATTAACATGTATACTCAGGCGGGCTACTTATTTCTGACCTACTTTTTTATTTAAGCTGCACTAATTCTTGAATCGAGGGACGCAGGTGGCGCTGTGGGTTAAACCACAAAGCCTAGGACTTGCCAATCAGAAGGTCGGCGGTTCGAATCCCTGCAACAGGGTGAGCTCCCGTTGCTTGGTCCCAGCTCCTGCCAACCTAGCAGTTCGAAAGCACATCAAAGTGCAAGTAGATAAATAGGTACCGCTCTGGCGGGAAGGTAAACGGCGTTTCCGTGTGCTGCTCTGGTTCACCAGAAGCGGCTTAGTCATGCTGGCCACATGACCTGGAAGCTGTACGCCGGCTCCCTCGGCCAATAAAGCGAGGTGAGTGTCGCAACCCCAGAGTCGGCCACGACTGGACCTAACGGTCAGGGGTACCTTTACCTTTAATTCTTGAATCACTGGCCAAAGTTGAACTAGTTGCTTGGGATAGGGAGAGGTGTACCTCTAAACAGTTAACAGGCAGTCAAATATCATCCTCTTGACTTACCTGCACCCAAACGTTGTTTGCAGCAAAGTTGTGATTCCAACACAGAAGAATATGGTCCCAATCAGCTGGCTAGTAGCCCACTGGTCAAATCCAACACACATGGCATCTGCTAGCAGGAAGGGCACTGCTATAGTGCCACTGAAACACGTCAGGTAATGCTGCAAATACAGAGGGTTATTTTATTTACAAACATGATATATGATCGCTTTCCGTTTGTTTACACCATTACCATTAGCTCAAGAGCATTATTTTTCAAGCGCAATATATTTCCAAATTGCTTCCAAACAACCATCAATTAACACCTGCTTATGGATAAGCAATTTCTGGAAGCCGGACTCAACTGTGAAGACAGATGCCGTCTGGCAAGACCAAAGCAGAAGCGGTGCTGCATTGCAGTACAAAGCAAAGTAGAAGCGAGAAGACCACAAACAATGCAATAGGTTGTCAAAAGCCATCTGGAGAGCACAGCATCACCACTCCCTAAGGAATTAAGTCTCGAGGCAGAACTTCACTTGGGATAGATTCCTGCCAAGGATTTGGAAACGCCAGTGTAAAATAAAATCAGCAGGTATATATTATACTACCAAGAAACCTTACTGAAAACCATTTTCTGTAGTGTGCATATGGTAAATAAACAATGGGGAGGGGGCCATAGCTCAGTTGTAAAGTGCCTGCTCCGTATGCAGAAGGATCAGCCACTGGAATCTCAGGTAGCTGCATTGACAGGAACTCTCCAAGACCCTGGAGAGCTGCTACCAGTCTATGAGGAATAAAAGACTGATTCTGTATAATGACTCGGAGCAGAACCACTGCACAGAAACTATGGAAGTCTCAGACTCTCCAAGTGTCCCTATTTTCCAGGGATGTCCCTGATTTAGAGTTGCCATCCCGGTTTCTGATTTGATCCCAGAACGCCCCACTTTTCCTTAGGATGTCCCTATTTTCATTGGAGAAATGTTGGAGGGCATGGAGTTATCCAACCCCCAAGCCGTCTGAAGGCAATCCTGTTCTTTAAATGCTGAATGATTTATTATGTTTTTGTATATGTTGGAAGCTGCCCGGAGTGCTGGGGAAACCCAATAAGATGTGTGGGGTATAAATAGTAAAATTATCATTATGGAATGGGACGTTCCCTCCCTATTTTCATCAGAATAATGTTGGAGGGTATGAAGTCATTCTTAAAAAAATTAAGGATATAGAAGCATACAATTGAATGGGTCAGGCAGAATCTTGGAGGTTATCCAGTTCAGTTCCCTGCCAAGTGCAGGATCTGGAACATAATTTGAAGATTTATATGTAAGATTGTAATGGGGAGAATCAATGAATTGTTATCTCCATCCTTCATTTCTTCCTGATTGCAAGATTCTGGGAAACTTTGCTCTAAGGATAGCGGTGCTGTATAAGTTATAAATAGACAAATTCCCAAAGTCTTACTACATAATAAATGGCAAATGTTCCTATATATTCAAAGGGCATGGTCCTTCACTGCAAAAATGAAGAACTCAAAAGCACAGTTTAATAATTTTTTTTACAAAACATACTGGAAAAAATCTTTTCCTTAGAAATGCCTTGATACCAAGAGCAGAACTCCTGGGCATGGGGGAAAATTGAGTTTGTGGGCCAGCAGGCTTATCAGTTAGAAAGGACCTAGTGATCCTACTGATCAGTACAGGATCTACAATTCAGAAGTCAGTGACAGACAGCCATCCAGACTTTGCCTAAATGCCTCTAGTGAAGGAGAGTCTACCAGCTGCCAAAGCAGTCTGCATCACTGCCAAACAGTTCCTAAGGTTTAGTCGGAATCTGCTTGGAAGTCCTGCCCTCTGGAGCAACAGATAACGCAGCTGTTCCACCTTACATGACAGTCCTTCAGATACTGTCATGTCCACAACTTAATCTTTTCTTCTTCAGACTACTACACCTACCCTGGTCTTTCAACCATTCCTCATAGGACAGGAAATAGAACTGCAGGCAAAGGATCCGTGGGTCTTTTCTCTTGAACTACACAGTATAGTCCCTGCAGCACACAAACGAAATGGCACTTCTTTCCCAGGCTACAGGAGCAATGGGAAGTTCTGCTGCACAAGACCCAATGACTTGAATGGAAACTTTGCAAAAGCATTACTATGACCTTCCAAAGCTTCCATTTGTTTCAATAGGGCTTGTTCTGTTCTTTGGTCAGGTCTGTATCTCTCCTACTTGATGCTCTTAAATACATATTAAGACCTGCTCCCTGAGGTAGCCACCTCATTTTGACTCCTAGTGGAGCCACCTCTGCTTCTAAAATACCTCATTTTGGCTACAAGGCTGTGCAGACTACAGTACCACAATTCCCAGGATCACCCGTTGGTAGAACAGCAGTACACAATTATGGGTTGTATTTAGAATTCCCAAATTAATGCACCAAGTGCACCTAGCTATGGGGCAAATCAATGTGGACTTCTGGGGTAAAGAACTGCCTATATAAGCACTAGGACAAACATTTCCAGAGGCTCCAGAAATATTTTTGCCCTCTCCAGTGTACCAATATGCTACTGTTGCATTGAAGTACAGTGAAAGAAGAACTGGCTTCTCACCTTCCCAGCTTCAGCAATTAAAATTCAGAGAACTAGGACCAAAGAGAAAACTGACTGTAAGCCAACATCAGTTCTTGAAATCTTTCATTCCTGTGTTGCTTGCCTGCATTAGTTAAAGCTTTTTTCCCTGCTGAATAATACTTAAAATATTAAATATAGCACAGTAGGAATAACGAGAGCACCATATTTTTCTCACAATATGTACCTGTAACCCCAAGAATATGCAGAGGTACCAGGGAGGAACATCTTCAATTGTGTATATCATGTCCGTTCTTTGGGCGTCCAAGCTTCCGCTGCTATCTAGTGTCTCCGCCAGTGAACTCTGTTAAAAACAGATCAGGCAGTGGAAACAAATAATTAGTAATTAAGTATTATAGAAGGATGCACCAGTTCAATATGCAACATGGTTACGGGAGCACATTTGACAAGATCTGTGCCCTGTTTCAAAGCAGCGTCAATACACACACTTAAAAAGCAAGATCTTTTAGCTTTCAAGTAATCTGTTGCACTTAGTATGCAAGAGATATGTACACACACACACTCACCCTTTCATATAAGCAGCCTCTTCCCTTTGCCTACAAGCAGGGCATTATACTCTTCTTGTAATATAACCATGGCACATTACGCCAAAAAGATTATGATGGCCAATTGGATTACACAAACAAATAGAGCATGAGGAACACCAAATCACATATCATCAGGAAAGGGGCGTTTAAGAATAAATATAGTAATAATGGCAAACCTTGCATAAGAGACCAAGATTTCACAATTCATGGTACAAATACTACTTACTACAATGGATGTATTCCTTTCAGTACACATAGCTGAATTTTCAGTGAGTTAGACTCAAATCAGGGTTGCATTAGAATTTAGGCAAGACACAACAGGATGAAAAGTTTGACCACACTTACTAGAGCAGGAGATAAAACAACGGTTCCCTTTATAGGCCCAATGTGGAAAAAATCCAGAATAAAAATAAAGTTTCTAGACTCCACAACATTTGAAAGCATCATGGTAAAAACTGCTCAAGGATCAAACATTAAGATACTGAGAAGAAGCCAAATATGCTGGTCTTTCTGTAATTGTAAGTATCAAGGCCATACATTGTCCAATATTTTTCAAGCGTTCACTGAAGTCTTTCATATTTCATAGCAATAATTTGGAAAGCCAAGAGCGCTGAGTTGGCTCCCTTGTAATTCTGGCAACTACAATGTTTCTATGAATAGTAAGCAAAAATGTGAAAAATCAGCAACACTGATGATATCGTCAGGTTTACTCATGACACGTTTCTGATTCACCCCCTCATTGCTAGCTGCGCTTCTTATTCCAATGCAGGGTAAATAATTACAGAAGACAGCCACAACCTGTGCTGTAGAATCTTGGTCTTTTGCTGGTGGATCACTAATGTGAGCCACATGGGCAATGGCCCACAACCACAGAGAGCAGACAGAGGAGGACAGAGGAAGGAACAGATTTAGGTATTTATTTATTTGATTTATATCCTGCCCTTCCCCCAATTCAGCAAATAGACAAATACAGTGAAGCTAAACTATATACAGTGAAACTAAACACACAAACTAAAACATAGGTATCAGATTAGGAATAAAGGCATGGGTAGGCAAACCAAGGCCCGGGGGCCGGATCCAGCCCAATCGCCTCCTCAATCCGGCCCACAGACAGTCCGGGAATCAGCGTGTTTTTACATGAGTAGAATGTGTCCTTTTATTTAAAATGAATCTCTGGGTTATTTATGAGGCCTGCCTGGTGTTTTTTCATGAGTAGAATGTATGCTTTTATTTAAAATGCATCTCTGGGTTATTTGTGGGGCATAGGAATTTGTTCCTCCCCCCCCCCCTTTTCAAAATATAGTCCGGCCCCCACAAGGTCTGAGGGACAGTGGACCGGCCGCCTGCTGAAAAAGTTTGCTGACCCCTGCATAAAAGGGTCTAAAAGGTCTGAAGTGGTTGTTCAGCTTACATCAGTGGTTCCCAAAGAGGGTAGTAGCATCCCTTGGGGGCCAGTGGGATCACTCAGGGGCTACTAAGAGGCAGAAGGGTGCCAGAAGTGCAAACGACTATCAGACTGGCCACACTGGATCAAGTTCATCAGTTTTGTTGAATTAATTACAGTAAATACAGTAAACAGTTTAAATTGGATTCTGAATAAATGAACAACTGGTTGTTACTGCTTTGAATTTCACTGTGTTTTTCTCTTCCTTATTGGGTTGTGCAAACCGCCCTTCTAAATAATGCTTTTTATAGGGTATCAGGCACTGGAGATGAATTTATGGAACCAAGGGGGCGGTGGCCCAAAAAATGTTTGGGAACCACTGGCCTAGCTCTATCCACAGAAGTCATTTTAAATATTTGTTAAGAGATACTTTTTATTGGCCACACCCAGGAGGATGTTTTCAATTTACCAATCTCAGTGGAAAGAAGGGCTTGTATAACTACCATGCTGACTTGAATCCATATTTGGCTGATTATTTATATTTGGCTGTTGAACAGGAGACCCAAAACTAATCCTTTTTTTCTAAAAAAAATGTTTAGGGGTACTCTCATTTTCCTACTCATATTGAAAAACTGCCCCTCAGTAAGGCCAAACCTGGGTTCACAAAATGCTTAGGGGTATGCGAACCCGTGTCCCACCAGAAAAAAAGCACTGCCCAAAACCAAACCCATTTACTCGTCAATGTTGTGTTTAGTATGAGAGAGAATAATTGAAACTACAGCAGCAGATGAATTTTTATTTCCACTCCAGTGCCGATTTAATAACAAAACACAGTGGTACCTCGCAAGACAAAATTAATTCGTTCCGCGAGTTTTTTCTTCTTGCGAGTTTTTTGTCTTGCGAAGCACGGTTTCCCATAGGAATGCACTGAAAATCAATCAATGCGTTCCTATGGAAACCGCCTTCAGACCAGGTCCGGGGACAGTCTGTCCCCCGACCTCTTCTGAAGGCTGGGGGGGGACGGGGGACAAGGGCTTTTCTTCCCACCGCCAGCCTTCAGAAGGCTGTTCTGAAGGCTGGCGGTGGGAAGAAAAGCCCTTCTCCCCACCTCCCGCCCCGCAAGCTCAGGGGACAGGAGGGCTTCTCCTCTGTCCCGGGGTGATTTTAAAATGCTGGCGGGTGGCAGCGAAGCCTCCGCTGTCCCGGGGCGATTTTAAAAAGCTGGGGATCGGCAGCGAAGGCTTCGCTGCTGCCCGCCAGCATTTTAAGATCGCCCCGGGACAGCGGAGAAGTCTCCGCTGTCCCGGGAAGGCAGGCGGGGGGGGGGAGCAAAGACTTTTGCCCCCTGCCGGCCTTCAGAAGAGGTCCAGGACCTCTTCTGAAGGCCGGCGGTGGGCGAAAGTCTTTGCTCCCGACCGCCAGCATTTTAAAAGAGGTCCCCAGAAATTTCCCTATGGGCTTTCTTCTTGCGAAGCAAGCCCATAGGGAAATTCGTCTGGCGAAGCACCTCGAAAAACGGAAAACTCTTTCTTCTTGCGAGTTTTCCGTCTTGAGAGGCATTCGTCTTGCGAGGTACCACTGCACATACTTCTGTAAAAGGCAATGGAGAGTTCCTTTGTTTTGTTTTGACGGGAACTTTAAGTTCTCCCTGTGGTTGTGATTTCAACCATGACAACTCAACCCTGAGTACAGCATGGCTGACATCAGTTGAACTGAATGAGATGCTAATGAAGGAAAACGGCTTGTTATGCAGGATAGTTGCACCTAGTTGTACTAATGCCAGATTTCTCAAAGTAGCATGTGGCAGGGAGCAGGCAATCTTGTCAGATCTGTGGAACACTCCTCACAGAGCTCCTGCCTACAGGGAGGTTCTCCCATTCTCCCTCTCCTGGGACAAAGTCACTGACAGCGAGACTGGTAGTGAGAGAGGAGGGTGCAGAAGGCTATGTTCTTAAAGTCTTTCAACTACCATGCCTTCTCACAGGATTCCTTTTGTATGCAGAGAAGAGAGGTGTGGTTGAAGGCAAACATCCATGAGTGGGACGTCACAGACCTGATGGAAGCTGTTCCAACTTGCCAAAGATCAAACAAACAAAGTAGAATTTGGGGTTGTGTGATGACAGAAGAGCCTCATTCAAAAAGGGATGTACGTTTATTGTATTTGGAAATGGCTCTACAGTTAAACTTAGGAGAATGCAGAATGTATTTCAAGGCTACACCCTTCCAAGGGAGCAGTAGGAAGAAGACAGAGTAGCTTGGCTCATCCCAACACATGGCTCAAAAATGCCAACAACCTTTTCCCAAAAATAACTGATCAAGAGCTAGACTCTCATAACTCATGCACTGTAGCCTAAGGGGTAAAAGCAACCTAAATAAACACTTTCAAGAGAATCTCTAGCTCAGTCTCCAGCAAACATGTCTTCAGTGCTGAATAATCAGGAAAACTAAAGGAAGAGGGGATCAAGACCATACACACCCCATAACTTAAAGCTTCCTCAGGAAGGATTTGAGAAGCAAGAATTCCAGGAGGCCTAGAGCACTAGTTACCAATTCCGTGTAAAGGAGCACAGAACCTTTGCAGTCTGTCTTACAGCCCACCCAGGATGCACATTTTTGTTGAAACAAGACAGGAGGCAGAACTCAAGCCCCCTCCCCAAAAGAAAATCCTTTAGGATTCTCATTCTATCTTAGGTCCTAAGAGAAGGTAAGAAAATTAACAAAAGTACATTTCCTACCACCCCCTCCAAGCTTTCCCCAGTGCTTCCCTAGAAGGTCTAGCACTCCCCATGAACAACATGGGACGAAGCAAGGCTACTGGGGGAGGGGAAGAACTCAAACAAAATCAGACGTGGATCCTAAGGTAACACAGGGAAGGTTTTCTATCCCAATCTCTCTCTTGCAGTCCCCAGACCTCATCCATATAATTCAGGCTGGTCCTCCAACATGCTCCCCACCTGCCCGAGGCTTTTCAGGGAGGAGGGCAAGATGTCAAACATCCCTTCTGTGAACTTGCTTAAAATTTTAGGATCCTAGCCTATGGCTGTATCAGGAGCTCTGCTGAAGATGGAAGCACAAAAGTGGCTTGGTTTGCACATAATTGTCCAAACTCTGCCCAGTGGCTTCACTTTATTATGTTTGGTCTAAAGCCAGGGTTTGTTGCTGGCTGAGGAACCTTGGTGTGCTTTCGTATAAGGCTTTGTGTTACATGCAAACCCATCACCATTCCTTCACCATGGTTTCTTTGCACACCTCAGATGGTAACCAAGATACAAAGAGAAGATGAAAAAACAAAACAAACTTTTGAAAAGCAAGCCATGGTTGTTTGATCATCTGTGGGACAACTCATAGGTGCTTTGTGCTTTGTTAAACAAACTCTGTGCGTAACAGGCTAATGGCATGCGTTTTCTAAACCATTTTCAAGAACATTTTCCACTTGTCTAAAACCAATGGAGATCCAAGTTAGCATGCTTGACGAAACTTTTTTTTTTACGTAAACAAAGTTTAAACTTTAAAGTCAATGAAACTTAGAGTGATGTGTTAATTTTATCTGTTGTAGAAATATCTGAATTAGAAGCAAAGAGCATTAATTTAGCAAGCAGTTGTACAGAAGCAAAATAGCGTTAGTTATGCTACATAAAAACAGCATGAAGACGGGTTTCTACAGCTTTTCTGTGAGCCCCACATTTGCTGAGACCCGCCCCCCCCCCACTCCCGGTAGCCAAAAGTAACTGAACTAAATTGTTGGAAACTGTTTTACTGGAAAACATGTAAATATTTTAAGGCATGACAGTTTAATAGTGTCAGTTTAGATATTAAGCGATTTTTAAAAACAAAGTATCAGATTCTAATGAGGCGTGCGTGTAAATATCAGTTCCGTAGAGACACTTGAAGAAAAAAATAGTTACAGCTTTGATTTTTCAGTCTGACTAGCACTGTACCCACTGCTGTTGCCCAATCTTACTTGTAATACATAAGCCTGCTAATTAATTTTATGAAAACAATGCCTTTCTAAAACTGGATATTTCCTGCATGAAAAATGCAGCAGTTTCCTACTCTTCCTCACATCACGGGGAACAAGCAGGCTTGTGCAGGAAGAGCTGATGAGTGACGGGATGTGGGAGACCTTTGTTCAAAATAAGAATGATAACAAAAATCTATCACAAAGGCAGAAGACCCAGCATCAAGGTAGCAGCTGCAGTATCAGCAGATGTGCTGCTTCTGTCCTACGAGTCAGAGTGAAGACCAAGCAAATATATTACTTAACCGATATCAGATATTCAAAATATGTGTCTTGGAATCCGGAGTCCAGTAACCCAGTTGTATAACTTTATCCTATTAGTTACACATGCTGCAGTTGCCTAATCCCCTTATGATTGCCACCACCTACAATCCTGGAAGTCTAGGTGGTCCAACTTTGGCACCGTTTCCCTTGCATCTCCCTGGCTGCCAACATTAATCTCTGAAACAAAGGTGGCATTAAAAACAGAAACGCTCAGTCATTTTGCCTTCTTGAATAAGCTCAGTGTTTATAGCTGGACTCTGGAAAAAGGAGGTTTGTGCAACAAGACAACTGCAGCTATAGTAAAACTGATTATCAAAACATCTACTTCAGCCCACACAAATGAGGGGAATTATGTACAATCCTAAAATCCACTGGTAAATTATGAAGGCCCAAAACATGAAAGTTTTCAAGTACAGTCTTTCCAAAAGATGCTTTCACTCTAAGAATTATCAATGTTCCCTTAATCAAAGAAACCTGTCTTTAACACTTCATCTAAATTATGGAAGGATAGAAAATAAGGGAAATTAAATTAGTTAAAAGGTAATCAGTGATAATGTCCCTCCCCCATTTTTTCCATCCTGTATCTTTTCTCTAACTCAAACTGCAAATTTCAAAGCATTTATAAACTCAAATGCAAAGGGGGTGGGAACGTGATGCTGAAACTCCCCCATCTAATACTATCTTTATATAGAATAAAGAAAGCTGATTCTCAGCTTATTTTTTCCTTTTAAATGTAGTTCCAAAAGATTCTTTATGAATCCAGCAGGCCTTGAGGGAAACCAGATAATCTTACCTCTCATTTTAAATATTGCAGCAAGGAATTGCACAGAGGGAAGTGTGTGGTGGCAAAAAATCAATTTATTAAGATTAAGGGGGGGGGGAGTTCTGTGAAATGAAACTTGCTTCCTTGTTTTTTATATTTCCCTGTCTTGCTGAAATATTTTCCAGTCTGCAAAAACCTGAATACGGCAAACTAAATTTCTTTGGTAGACTACACAAGCTGCTTAATTTATTTTGTAAGCAGAATTTATGGGTTTTACTGTTATCTAAAGACATTGCCTTGAAGTCTTAACAAAAGACATGGATAATGTCAGGAAACCACAAGGAAGACAAAGGAGGGAACAAGCAAAATTAGTAGAAATGTCAAACTGAGGAGAACAAGAGAAGAGTGAAGAGCTTCCACAGGATTGTCAAGGTCTCTTCATAACTGCTTGTCAGGATACTGATTACTGAATCCAGGGTGTGTCCCTTGAGAAACCATACCTTCCACTGATAGATATTGTTAGTGGGATGGGAAAAGCACTGTCTGTAAATGTTTGGCACACTGTGCCATACAACCAACCATCACATCGTAATAATAAGAATTATGCAATAAACAGGATTTCACGAATCAGATTTATTGTTCATCATGATCGACCTAGAATATGCAACAATGCTGCTCCACGCTTTATCTTTCATTCTGAGTTAGTTGTAACAGTGAACTTTTTTCCAGCTGTGCTGCCTGCCACAAGCCAGAGAAGATACAAGAAGGTTATGAACAAACAGATAAATTTCTGTAACCTTAAAACACCATTACAGTCTCCACCTTGGTTCTCCAGGCAATTCCCCATCATCTCCACACACTACCAGCACTCAAGCTCTCCTCCTGGCTTCTCTCCAAAAATACTCCAAGTGATCACCAGGAGATCACACCTCAGTGTGTGTGCAGCATCCCGAGCTGAGCAAATGAGTTACTTTGGCTGCACCAGAGCCAATCTTAGAATCTACTCCAGAAAGATACCTTTTCAGCAATTCCATTTTCAGTTGTATAGATTGCCATAAGCTCTGTATCTTCCGTATCTTGATCGCCACTTGATGTAGCTCCACCATTCATTACAACCTATGAAAAAGAAAAAGGAATTAATATATAAAAAGAGTTACTATAGATTTTCAAATAAATGTATCCTCTAGGGCAAGCGCAGGAATTATTATTCTCAACGAAGAGCGCAACATTTTCAACGTACTGAATTCATCGAGAGCCAACTCCCATCAGCTTGAGCCAGCCGATGTACAAGCAAAAAAGTGCAGGTAAAAGCACTGGGCACACTGGCTGCAGCAGCACGCAGCTCTCTTCATGCCACGTAGTCACATGAGCGTCCTAGGAAGGGAGGCTGTCTGGAAGAGACAGAGAGAGCTGGCTGCTGGTGCTGCAGCAAGTGTGCCCAGCACTTTGACTTGTGCAATGTTTATTTTTCTTTGAAGGCCTTTGGCCATTTCATAAAGGAAAAGAAGATAAGCACTGTCCCATCCCCACCGGCCCAAAACCAGACAAAATATTATCTGAACTTCATTTTCACCTCACCGATTTTTAGGGCATGTTTGGGTTTACTCCCCTCCCTGAACTGCGGGTGGGGGAGCTATTGAAAGACTTGGCACAGTACTAGACTGAACAGGAATACTGCAGCATAAGCACAGGACCCGTCAACAGTATTTTATCAATTTAAAGAGATATACACATTATGCCACAACAGGAAACAAAATGTACACATTAGAAAGACATCAGCCCCTGTGACTTAATACAAACAGGATTGGTATGGAAACAGTGACTGTAACAGCAGACTAGAAACCCTCTGGTCCAGTCTTACAGAGGGCAGAACAGAGGTGGAACAACCCCTCAATACACTATTCAAATACTGGAAATGACAATTAGACTAACAAATAACCATGGTCAGCAAGTTCATGTTTCCATGTTGCAATGAACCAATGTCAAGCTATCATCAATTGATGAATTGCATTACTTGAAAGTGGTTTGGCAATCTGTGGCTAAATTGTCATAATCATCATCAGCATTTGCATGCAATAGTTCAAAGCCTATCTAGTCAACTGTACTCAAAGAGGTAAGAGTCTGATTGCTTGAGCAATCTAGTCAGTGTACACAACATTTGTACCTGCATTCTGAACAAAGTCATTCATACAGAGCCCTAAAATTCATTTCTAAACCATGGAACTATTTTTTCTTAGTCGCCTCTCCATACTAAAAATACATTCAGAGCACTTTCTTTCTGAAGATTCAGATTAGCAAGATGGCTTTTACAACAAAGATGACTTTTACAACCAACTTCTACTCCAGAAATAAAGATCAGTAAAGCTTTCTGTGAAAGGCATATCACAAGTCACCACTGACCCATGCTATTTTCAAAGTTGTGCTATTGTAAAATGCATTTTCCACACAATGGGAGTTTTTAACTGGACCTCATGGGGCACACTTTGGAGAATCAGTGCCTAGAAATACCTGGCTGAGAACGATGATTGAAGCAGAAGCAGATATTATGGCCAAGCTTGTGATTACATCGTGCCACCACAGGGAAGCAATGCAACTTTTTGGAGTATGCAACTTACTGGTAGTGTGAAGAAAGCAGGATGCTTGGATTCATCCTCATATTTGCCCTCTGTTGGACTTCCAGTTTCAACTGACTTAGACGTAGTGTTCTTGCCAATTCCCATTGTTTCCCACAATGCTCTAAAATTCACGTAGTCACTAAGTTATTAGTACGGGGATAGAGTTTTCAATTAAAAACTAGGGCACCTCAGGGAGTCAGAAGAGCATCACAGGAGTTCACAACGGAGCATGAGGTCCTGTAAGTAACATGTGCTTCTATGGCACCTAGAAATAAAGAAATGAAACACCAGTAAAAAATTTGCAATACAATTCCACAAGATATTTGCTGCAGTGTATAAACCTGACCGAGAATCCAGGTTTTATGGCAAGTTAATTACATTGAGAATTTCAACCAATGTCCAAGGATGCCCTAAAGAAGAGAGTCAGCCACAGTCTTTCCCCCCTACACAACACAGCAGGAAAATCCCTCAAGCCTATTTGATTCTGGTGACAGGAATCTTGAAATAGATATTCAGCCCTTTTCAAGGCTGACCTGCTCCAGTTCTTCCTTAAAACTCAAAATGAAGGTTTACCACTCATTCTTCATCCCCTGCCTACTGAAACTAACCCTGAGTTTCAAACTGCATATATTCTTTCCCTTTTAGCCATACTCCCACCTTCCTCCTCTCCTTCTACTCCACCCTTCATCAACCTGGTACCCTCCAGATGCTTAGGGCTCAACTCACATGAGCCCCAGCTAGCACAGTCAGAGGATGTCAGGGCTGATGGCAGCTGTACTCCAAAACAGCTGGAGGGTACCAGATTTGGGAACACTGCTCTATTGCCTCCCCACTGAGGAATTTCAGATGATAAACTGCAAAGGTCCCTATCCTACCATCTGACACCATAGTCTGAAGCACCACACCTACTGAGTGATGGTGCTGTTTACATAAATAAAGGCAAAACAACAACAAAAAACCTTGCCTACGCACTTGGTTGTAGGTAAACCTTTCAAAAAAGCACACACAAACACACACATTATGACAATTTAAAGCTGGTCACAATTAAAAAAATGGATCTAATCAAAAGTACAGATGTGAACGCAGATCAAATTTCAGTCTGAAACTGGGGTTAATAAAATTAAAGCTGTGTAAAGACTGCCTTTGATAAATGAACAAGGATGATTTAATTCACACACAAAATAACTGTGCAAACTCAGATTTAAACAATCAAAATGTCCAAAGATGTTCCAAAAACAAACCAGTGCTCCATCCATCTGCAGTTAGTATTCTTGGGTATGTACTTTAAGTTCACATACTCATTTTTAGGCTACTCCAAAACCCTTTTCTATAAAGGGACATGACTTGCAAAATGTCCAGAGATGTTTGCCTCTGCTGACAACTCACTTTACACAGCCTCTTACATCTTGTTTTTTGCATGAGTGAATTAACCAACTCCCTTTACTATCCGACTTCTGTGCAATAATGCTTCCACTTTAGAACCACTGAAGTTAAAACACTTAATATGTGTTCTAACTTAATATGAGGCTAACATTCATCTAAAATACTGAGAGCATGGACTGTGTGTTAAAAGTTATATAGCAACACAGGAAATATAGAACAAACAAGTGGCTTTTTGGAAATTGGGATGCTACCATTCTATGAGCCAATGATAAGGCAGGTGGCACATGGAACAGATTTGGGGAAATCATCTTCCTTTAGCATAAGGCTGTTTGGAAGTATATATTGCTGTGAAAGTAAAGGGAGCAAGAGAGAAATGAAAGACTGGGAAGACCAGGCTTTCAATATGTTAGTCGCATGGGGAGCAAATGAATTGTTAAGAGACTTTTAAAGGACCTGGGGACAATAACAATGGCTCTCTCCTTTAGCTCACTTCTATATAAGTTGAGACACAGACAAAGGTCGCTTCAGTTCCTTCCTCTCCAGAGAAGCAAAACAAAGGCAGACTGGTGGCGGCTGCATGCACATTGGGTGGGCAAGTTAAAGAGCATTTTGCCTTTGCATGAACAGTTGAGGGACAGAGGAAGTGGAAAAACCCGGGGATAGATCAGGGGTCCTCAAAGTGGGCGGTACCGCCCCCCTGGGGGGCAGTGAGATTACACAGTGGGGTGCTATGAGGCAAGGGGGTGCTAGAGGTGTAAATGACTATCAGACCTTGAAAAGCTGGTATCACTGGATCAATCAATTTTGCTGAATTAAAGTAAATAGTTTTAATTGGATTTTGAATTAAATGTGCAACTAATCATTGCCGTTTTGAATTTTATTGTGTTATTTTCTTCCTTAGTGGTTAACATAAACTGTTATGTTCAATCAACCAATCAACCTTTATGGGCATACAGAGAAGACTGGAATATATGAATGGAAACATAAAATTGGCATCTGTTCACAGGAGGAAATGCTTTAAGTTTAAGATAAAACTATACAGGCCTAGTAAGGTTAAAAAGTACCACTCGGGTCTTATGACGACGTAGTTTCATGGCATGGGTAGGCAAACGAAGGGCCAGGGGCCAGATCCGGCCCAATCGCCTTCTGAATCCGGCCTGCGGATGGTCTGGGAATCAGCATGTTTTTACATGAGTAGAATGTGTCCTTTTATTTAAAATGCATCTCTGGGTTATTTGTGGGGCCTGCTTGGTGTTTTTACATGAATAGAATGTGTGCTTTCATTTAAAATGCATCTCTGAGTTATTTGTGGGGCATAGGAATTCGTTCAATTTTATTTTTTCCCCAAAATATAGTCCGCCCTGCCCCCCTCCCACAAGGTCTGAGGGACAGTGGACCAGCCCCCTGCTGAAAAAGTTTGCTGACCCCTGTTTCATGGCGTTGCTCAGATATTCTGCTACTTCCTCCATATGATCATGCCGGCAGCTATTCAATAAAAAGGAATAATAATAATAATAATAATAATAATAATTTATTATTTATACCCCGCCCATCTGGCTGAGTTTCTCCAGCCACTCTGGGCGGCTCCCAATCAGTGTTAAAAACAGTACAGCGTTACATATTAAAAACTTCCCTGAACAGGGCTGCCTTAAGATGTCTTCTGAATGTCAGGTAATTATTTATCTCTTTGAAACCCTGTAGCAGTCAGAACAATTTAACCTCTCCTTCAGCAGGGGGCTCAAACATTTGTGGCGGATTACTGCATAAAAGGGACAGTAGAACAAGACATGTGCAGTGGTCTTGACCCATCCTACACTGCAAGGACAATACGTCTCTGAATATGGAATTTAGTGTTATGCCGGCTGTTATACTAAATAATGTTTTTATAGGGTAGGGGGCACTGGGGATGAGTTTATGGAAACGGGGGGAGGGGGGAGGCCCTAAAATGCTTGGGAACCACTAGGCCACAGGCAGTGTTGGGGGCCACATGAGATGACTGGATTGAACTCCTGGGATACCAATTATTCCTTCCTCAGTCTAAATTCCTCCTCAAACAAAAAGGGTATAATCAACCATATTATCGTGTGTTACAACAACTTTGTTCTCAGGTTTTTGCCGTTCCTTTAAGTCCCATGACTCATTTCCCTCCGAAGAATGGCAGGTAGCCAACAAGCACGTTCTGCTCCAGCTCTGAAATTCTATCAGTGGACACCTGCAGTTTTAAAAGCAGCTAACAACAGTGGTGCTCGACTCCAAGAAAAAGCATCTGATAAATCATGAAGCCAGAAACAGCAATAATACAATATGCTTTCATAAAAAAGGCAATCAAGAGTATTACACTGATCTTCCTTCGTGTTAGCTTAAGAAATTAGCCTGTAGCATTTTTAGCCACATTCCTGAGGCAAAAGGCAATGAATGGCCTTTGAGAAATCACCATGAGAAACAAATCCCTCTATAATCTCACAAAAATTTCCTAACAAAATAAGGACTGTTTCCTTTCTTCTCTCAAAAGCTTGCCTAGAAAGAATGATTACAGGCACATTTTAAAACTAGAAATAGGCAAGGAAGGCAAGGGAGAGGGTGGTGGGAAAATGATCCTAGGAGGCACAGAATGGCCTGCAAACCAAGTCAATGCAGCCCACCAGAAACTCAGTAAACCCACCCACCCTGTCTCGGTAGCCTACCAAGGCTGTCTGTCAAATACCTGTCAGGCACATTCTGCTGCAGAAAGACCGGGATTCAGGTTGGTGGGCTGTGAAGGCCTGCAGGAAAGGAACATCACGCTTGCAAGAATCTAATTCAACCCACGCATTCAAGATAGCTGCCTCCAACTTCTGCTTTCCATTTTCACAACAGCGGAAGGCCTAGCTAGTTATGTACACTACAAATGCTTCATAATCATATTTCTGCTTTCTGACCTGACCTGAAGAAAAAAACATGCTTGCACAGCACTCTGCAACAAATTTTTGGGAGACAACAAACCTTTCTTTTAAGGTGGGGAAATAAGGTGGAAATAAGTGAAAAATCAGATTGGCTAAGAGACTGGCATCAATATCAAAAAGACTGGCCAGCAGGCCAGGAACATTTTTGGGGGGAAATCACAGACTGTCTTGATTAGCAAAACAATAATGCTTTTAAGCATTTTGAACAAGTGAAGCAGATAATTACTGTATTTGGGCAGAGTTTTGATTAGCCAGAATAGTTAGCTGGCAGACCAATGTTTGGCAGAGCCTCAGTTTTGCACAAAAGACAATTCCCAATTCATTACAGGACAGCAGCTTCTGAGTCTCTATTTGGCACCTGTCAGACCAGTGACACCAAATAAGCCTTCGTTCTCTTCCAGTGGAAAAAAAGGGTTGCAGAAAGATGGATGCAAGAAATTTGGATGTACCATTGATAAGATACAAAGATTGCTGGCCTTTCCACAGTAGTCGTATCAACTGGGAAATTCCACTTGGACAGGCTGAAGTCATAATCCTTATCCATGAAGCTGAGATAAACAAAAGCATTTCTAGCAACACAACTTACCAATGAAACTGGATTCACAAATTTTCCTCATAACAAGGGAGCACAAATATTCAAACTCAATAGAGGAAGAATGGAACTAACACAGGGGTGGATGTGGAGGTCAGGATAGGGGGGAAAGGCTGTGAATCCCTCTAATTAATTTATAAAGCTTGTTTGTGGCTTATCCGTAAAAAAAGAAGTTATGTACATACAAGAAACGATAGATAGCACATCTAATAGCACTTTGATGTGCTGAGAGTGATTTCCCAGCTGGCATTGGGCACAGAAGAAGTGTTACATGCCTCCACTTCCTCCTCACCATACTCTCATTCTCATTCTCACTCTCTGCTCTTCCCCTTTGGTCTTTGACAAGAA